AACGGGCACATCACCTTCTACCGTATATCCGATTTTCATGAAATTTTCAGGGATTGTGCGGGTTGGTGTCTAGATGGTTCCATATAAATTTTATTAAATTCTAACCAGCACTTTCGTTTAGATTTGAAACACCTCTTCGCAATTTTGTAGATCTGACAATATTTTATAAAAAAGCTCGTTCGATTTGGCTCAAAGTTGGATAAAAGGTAGGTATTTGTGAAAAAATAATATAGGGTCAATTTGAGTGAATTCTGTCTATTGCTTTTTCTTATATGTACGCAAACATGTTTTCCTTGATACGTGAATATCTCTAAAACCGCAAGTTCGATTTGGCTCAAATTTGGAGGGAATGGTAAACGTAAAATGAAATAGGCATCAATTTTATCAAATTCTATCTACTACTCCAAAAAAAAAAAACTTCCGCTTTCAGATTAGGAAATGTGTTATTTGATATGTATATAGTTTGAAAACGGCGCATTTGATTTGACCCAAACTTGGAATAAATTTGGTAAACGGTATAGAAATTACTTAGTATCAATTTCATTTAATTCTATTTAATAATTAAAATTAATATAAATAATTATTAACAATATAATGGTTGTGAAATGTGAAAAGCACAGATCATATGGAGTGAGAGTTATGTTATTACAATATTGTTATGTGGTTATAAAATTTTAGGTTTAATTCAAAAAGTTAATTTATACTGTATTGTTTAGTTGATTTCAAACGTTACTGGCATGACACACATTGCCGTTACATAGATTTCGTGTAATTTTCAGTAAATTTAAAGTAATTTTTACTCTGAATTCGTAAAAAAAAAAAATGAAGTCTTATTTGTGATTGTGCTTATTTTCATTGAAATTCAATCAGCTCGTCGTGGTCTCGATTTTCTCCTTAAATATCAAAATTGTGTCCACTTCACTCATATTTTTATATTCCAGCTTAAATTAGTTTTGTTCTGACTGAAGAAAAGTATCGGTCTTGTTAACTCCGAACAAACATAAAGTTTATGCTGTCCTGTAAAACACTGAATCTTTACATACGTCATTTGCACTAACAGTAGCGAGATAAATATTCAGTATGCACTGGATTTTTTTTTTATTACGAATTATCAAATATGCAATCTGCAAATGCCGAACTTTTTTGCATTTTAGTATTTTCTGATAAACAAAACTTGTGGATATCAAGCCCGTATATGTTGAGGGATTACTAAATTTCCGAAAACGGCTTCTCTCAGAGATATTATTATATAGAAAACTTTGAAATTATCAAAGGTATAGTCGACTATAAACGGTATACTTTTTTTCTTGACCCTCTTGAACTACGAGGTGCTTATTTTTCGACACAGAAGACGATTATTTTCAAAATGATGGTTCCATCATTAGATTTGATTAATACTTAACGAAGGTAAGGCCGAAAAAAAAATCTAGTGCGCGCATCATACGACTTTCACTTACTATCTCTTCTTAGCAGAAATAAGTATTTTCAGACAAAGGGGAAGTGAAAGTAAAAATTATAGATACTATATTTATTTACATTTCATTGTGGGTATTTGTATTTGTTTAAATGCCCTTATATGTAAAAATTTTAATTTTTATATCGTTGTAATCGATACAATTAAATATTAAATAATACCAACGAAAGCATTCATAACAACCGCATGTGTATATGAACATAATATTGTCAGAGTCCGTATATATTAAGCTCATGTTACATCGCTAGCTGATCCAGGATTTAATTTTCGGAGAGGGGGGAAGCTTCAGCCCGGAAGCTTTTTTTTTCATATATATAACGATAATTACTTCGGAAAAACAGAAAGATACTAACTACCTATATGAAATGGTGTTTAAGTGATTCTTGAAGTCCTATTAAATGTAATTAAACGAGCAATAATACTTTAAGGCATAATTTTAAAATATTTTTTACCAAAAAGCATGGTGACATTTTACCATTTTGGGGGCTTCAGTCCAAAAGCTCCCCCCGCCGTAGATCCGCCTGTATGTTACATATGGAAGCCTGTTGTATTCTTTCGAGTGCTCTCGTATTCCTTTGGTTCCTCCATTACAACTATTATCTGTTACATCTTATTTCTCCTTTAATTAATTATCTGATTCTTTCATATTTTATATTTAACTGTTTTTTATATAAAAAAATAATATGAAATTGTTAATTATTTCAAATGAAAAATAAAGGTACTTTACAGAAAGCTAATATTAAAAATTAGCCATTTAAGCCCTGTTAGAGAACATCAATGAGAATCAAACCTACATTATACTAAAAACTGCTTAATAATACACTGATATAATGAATTTAATCAAAATCGTTAGAGTATTTTTTGAACAAATCGTAAAAATGTGTTAAATCGATTATATAAAGTACCAATTCCAGTACGCTGATGACCTGGATGTTTTGCGCCTAGACATCGAAACAAAACAAGTACCACTTCCGGTTTGCCGATTTTGACAAAAATGTTGCTGTAATATCCAAGGCTTATAAAAACCTCATATATTAATTTCAGTCTGGTACGACTTTTCGTTTTTGAGCTAGTCTCTTCATACACAAACACACACAGTCCATTTTGCTGAACTTGGACTCGGGAGACCTCAAAACGTGTATTTCTGTTGAACTCAGATTCGAAAATTTTCACGATCGCAATACTTACCCTCACACATTACATATATAGGTAAGTAAAAGTAAAAAATCTTTAATAACATATAAATAGTAAAAATGATCTATCCTTACTTACTACAGTAACAAGTGCTGTACAGACAATACCCTGGCTCATTTAGTTACACAGGCGGATTTAGGAGGGGCTTTCAAATGCAACCATGTTTTATGGAAAAAATATTAAAAAATTATCTCTTAACGTATTATAGTTCATGTAATCACATTTAAAAGGACTTTAGGAATCACTTAAACACCATTTCATATAGGTAGTTAGTTTATTTCTTTTTTTCCAAAGTAATTATCGCTATTTTTATGAAAAACAAAGCTTTCGGGCTGAAGCCCCCCCAAAATTAAATCCTGGATTCGCTAGTGTTTAGTTATATATATATTTACTATTAGTTATTATATATATATATATATATATATATATATATATATATATATATATATATATATATATATATATATATTATATACATTAATTATTAATAATATATTAATTAACTAGTTATATATATATAATATTAGTTTTATTTAGTTATATCCCTACAAGGAGTATGAATAGGTGATATCTGGTGAATAGGGAGGGTGGGACCGAAAGGTCCCATCCAAGGCTCAATAATTTATTGCGAGTGACCAATGATGTGTGAGGACACATTTTTGATGGAACACAACACCCTTACGATCATTCATAACTCTTCAGGATGTTCTCCAAATTCGATGTTACTATATCCATTAGAAAGCTGAATTATTGCTGTTCAAAGCCGCATGAATGGTTTTTTTATTTAATGCCTAATTAGGAATAAATAAACAAAAACTACTTATAGGTTTTTATTGTTTATCTTCATTTGTAGTTTGTTTACAAAGGTCCTGTGGATGTCATTTTGTGTAGTTTATAAGCCCTTAAATTCCTGCTTAATTTCTTATAGATAGCTAAAGTTGTATTGAAGTTATAACATTTTTTTGTGATTTTCGAAAAAAAAAATCATGTGAGGGACCCAAACATAAAGCCTCGCTTGTGCAAATGGTGTTCTGCACTTGTGTGCGACACATTTAGGGCCATAGCAATCTCTCTCACTGATTGGGTGGTGTTTTGATCAACGATGGAATTAACATTGCTCGTTTCAATTTCTTGTGGGCGACCGTTGAGCATCATTGATGTCAAAATTTCCTGAATGAAGTTTGGCAAACCAATTTTGACAGGTGCGTTAGGTTAAGGCATCATTCCATAAACACTGCAAATTTTTCTATGAGCTTCTACTACAGCACGCTTACCTTTTTTAAAATAATACAACAAAATATACCCATAATGAATGATATTTCCTTCCATATTCACAGTGCAATAGCAAACACAATACTAAGCTAGTTTCAACAAGAGTTATCAGATATAGTTGTTGACATATTACAAACAGGATAAACATTCCATCTTAAGGATTAATTCATCAGATAAAAAGTGTATCATAGTGACAGAAAAAGAAAACCCAAAAGGACTTATTTGCCAACCCAATATACAAAATATTAATTGGTAAAATTGATAAAAATCGTACATCCTTATTTATTGTCAAGGTTTCAGCATTCCTCATCTATGGTTAGGCATGTTCTGCACGTTTTTAGGCATGAAATGTTCAGAGTGGAACAGAACGAGGAATGGTTCTAGCAGAACAGTTAGGAACATTTGGGGACCATTCTATTCTAACCTATCCACCAAGCCCTAGGGCACTAGGGTGTTTTGGTCTGCTCATGGTTGCACTACACCAGCCCTTATTTCTCCTTTAGTTAATTATCAAATTCTTTCATAGTTTACTTTTAACCATTTTTTATTAATAGTTACAATATGAAAGGGTTAATTATTTCAAATAAAGAAAATAAAAGGTACTTTAGAGAAATTTTTTTAAAATTCGACATTTAAGTCCTGTCAGAATATTTCAATGAGAATAATACCTACTTGATTAATGATCAGTTTATTTTTACATTGATATGACTAGTATAATCAAAATCGTTAGAGCCATTTTTCAACAGAGAGCGGTAAAACTGTAAATTCAGTGATATAAAGTGTCACTTCTGGTTAGTCGATTTTAGCGAAAAAGTTGCTGTAACATCTCAGGCACTTACCTACCTAAAATATGTTATACCAGTTTCATACGACTTTTTTACCTAAGCTATTTACACAGACCATTTTACAGAAGTTGGTTATTTAAACTCAACAGACCTCAAAACTGAATAGAAAACTCGGATTTTTAATTTATCAAGATCGCAATACTTTCCCTTACTATATATTTCATAAATATGTAAGCAAGAATGAAAAGATCAGGGTTATAAATAAATACAAGGTTAGGTGTTTCAAAATTTTATTTCAATCACCATATTGTAATTATTGAAATAGATAAGTTTTTAAATGATTTTTACAAGTAAAGGATATTAACCGAGAGCATATAAAAGAGAAAAAACAAAGCAACAGACTAGACATATTCACACAAAAAAATACTCACATTTTCTCATATAAAAATAATACTCTTTAAATAAATCTTGTCCATTATTTGAAGGAGAGCACAAAAAATTATAGGCATTTATTTAATTACAATAATAATAATAATAATAATGAAAAATAATATATTTCATTAATAAAAGTCTTAATCACTCAAACTTACTAACACTAGAATATTATTTAAAACCTTAATGATAAAAATATAAAATATCACATGTGCCATCATACAACAAATATACCGAGTGAAGAAATTAATAAAATTTCAAAAATGAACATAATTGGGTTGAACCCTATAAATATATATATTAAAAAAAAAAGGAAGAAATTCCAACAGCCAATTTGACAGTTATTACAGACTTTGATTATGAATACGTATTAACTATCGTTGCAACATTTAAATCATTGTTTCAAAAGTTTACTTAGGTCCTATTCATTTTATTTATTTTTATTTTATTTTTTTTTTTTTTCGTTTACATTACATCATTGCATTTATAACATCACAATTTTAAACATTTATACAACTATAAGATAAAACTTCAGACAATGGTATAAATCTGAATATAAATAATAACAAACATCTAAACAAACACAAAATTAAAACGGCTAACCATAATAATAATTATATAATATACATTTATAAGCCTTCTAAGTCTATAAGTTGAATATCATCTATAAAATACATCGTGAGTAACAATAACATTGCAGGCAGACTTACTACAAACATCTTTTTATTCAAAGGCCTAAGATCAAATTAGGCATTGCCGAACGCCTGATAAAGGCAATCTAATTCTAAATATTGTCGTATTATTACCCCATTCTCTTCACACGTAAACAGTTAAAGATTAACAATAGTCAGAAAAAGTTACAACTACGTTAAAGGGAAGCACCTATGTATGTATATATATATAATTATAACAATAAAAAGGGCAAGTTACAATAATCACAGAAATGCTACTTCCTATCACTAAAGAAAATAATTCAACCACATACAAAATAAAATATAAAAATACCAATTTTATCTTGTGCTAACAATATAACTGATATGTCAAATGATAAAAAAAAATCTACAAAATGCGTATTATTGTTTTGTTTTTTTTAAATTAGAATACCTAACAGAAATAATAGAAAATTATCTGAACAGGTAATATAGGTTCTCAACTATAACGGGTTTGAAAATTTGATTCATATTTAGATTTTGTTAAAGCTTTATGCATGTTAATTAAATCGAACTTTGGTTTAACCATATCATTGGTAATAATTGTACAGCGATTTAGCCGTACAATCTTAGCACTAGAGAATAAATATTAATTTTGGCTCCTCAGTTCTTGTAAGACGTTTCAAATATTACTAGGCGGTACCCATAAAGTTTTGTTCTGTTCGACATCCACGGCCGCTTTGATCTGCGTACACATGTACGCAATGTTCACACCTGCAGCTGGTATTATTGCTGAAACAAATTAAAGTAGTCTAAGAACTTTAAGTTTTTGATTTAATTGAATGATTATATTTTAAAAATATATAACTAAAATAAGCAAAAAGCTCGAACAGAGACGTTATGAATGGAACAATCCATTCATCTTTAACATACAAGTGAACAGTAAACTTGTCAATTCAGGTATCATCATTGCAGAAAAAAACAGATCAAATATATGTTGAAAGAGAAAAAAAAAAAACATTTGCTATAGACATCTCATCAAACCATCCGAAAACATACTGCAACTTTCTTTTTTTTCTCTTTCTTTCATCATATATCTGATTCTGTTTTTTCTATCCTCATGATATCTCAATTAGCGAAATGTTGGCAAGTTAACTGTTGGCTTATATTATCGATATTCATGGATTTATGGTTTAAAATATATTGTAATTTTTATTTTCAAGTTAATTTATTATTAGCCATATTTACACCAATTTAAAAAAAAATCTTGTCACTTAATGACTATTCATCAAAATGACGACGTTTCGGCTAGTCGAGCCATTTTCAAGTCTAAAAAATTTTTTTCATTTACAATCATATATTAACTTTAACATATTTCAAATTATAAAGTAATAAAATAATAATACTTATTATGTCCAAAATACATATTTTGGACAGACATCCCAATGGTTTGAAAAAAGGCTTAAACAGCATAAACAAAATTGTAATTCAAAAAACACAAAAATTAAATTAGCTACTGGACTCTCGCAACATAATATGCAAACTAAACATGAATTTGATTTCAAAAATGTCAAAATCCTACATAATGAAAGAAATACGAATAAACGTAGAATTAAAGAATCAATATACATAACTAAAAACTTAAAAAACTCAGTAAATAATCATACAGACGTGGATAATATGAATACTTTTTACGCTAGTTCTATTGAAAAAATCAAAATTTGAAATAAATCAGCTAATATTACTTAAAATAGATCCACATGTAATATTGAGTAATAGCATTATATATGTTCATAATAAATAGTCTTCCCCTACTCCTATAAGAATAACCAGTCACTGAATAGAAATGAGATGGATGACATATGGGTGACTCAGAAACAAGGTAAATTTAACTTATTTTGAATCATTTAATAGTAAAGAATTGAGTAATAATAATGTTGTTAAATAATTAAAGGTGAACATGACAATAATAAGGAATTTTATTATGAGTAGACGCTTGCAATTCGCATAAGTGAAAATGACAGGTACATGATGGGTATTTTAGGTACATAATAAGTATCTTTATAATTTGAAATATGTTAAAGTTAATATATGATTGTAAATGAAAAAATTTTTTTAGACTTGAAAATTGCTCGACGAGCCGAAACGTCGTCATTTTGATGAGTAGTCATTAAGTGACAAAATTTTTTTTTTTAAATTGGTGTAAATATGGCTAATAATAAATTAACTTGAAAATAAATAGTATGCACCGAAGAAGAATTGAGTAATATTGTGAATGTAATTTTTATTTTATTTTTTCTTTCACATTTGTAGCTGTGCTGTAGTGTACACCTACCAGATCTGTTAACCGTTTTTAGTTTCCTTAGTTAACTTAATATTAGCTTTGATTGCTTTTTGTTTTTATAATTAATTATTAAAGAAGCAGATCTCTCGACCACTTTCTTATTATCTTGCATTGACTGGGTAACAGGGAATAGAAAAGTGATTACATTAGTAGATTGGGATGATTAGAACTTTAGAGTGAAATGAAGTGTATTTGTTGTGGATATACGAATTCATTGTTGAGATGGTCATGTCATGTATGGTATGATTTAAAATGTATCGTGTTAAAACATTTTTCAAAGAATTTTGCACTGTGTTTGTGTGTATGTATCTGAAAGGCAATGCTTTGTTCCATTTATCAAATAGATATCAGTATAGTGTTATAGATTAGTCAATTGTTCAGTAAGATGAATGAGAATTCAAAGTTCCAAAAGATGGGATAGTTGATTGTACCATAATGTCAGTTCTTGTTTTTTTATTTTATTATGTGCATTGTTTCAAGTGAATCTTTTGTAGAGTATAGTTCTTTGAAGATAATGTTGTCGATTGTTATCGGTAGACATGGAGCTTTTCGTAGAGAAAAATTGACATAGTTCGATTTGGTGACATAAAGAAATAATATAACTTAATTTATAATTCGAAACATATTCGACTGTTTGACAAAATAAATTTAGTTTATGAACGTCAATTAATATTTAGAGTTGTACAGTGTTCAGTTTTATTTGATTCCTCAAAAGTTAACTCAGATACTTTTAAATATCAAACTCTACCTGATATATAATGCTTATACTCGGACTCCAGCTTCAGGGAATGCTCGTACATTTCTTTGGCTGCTTTAGCTGTCACTTTATCTGATGAATACCGAGTATCCTTGACTTCTTTTATTTGCTTCGCAGATTTAAATTTAATAAGTAGAACGATAGGATAGATTTGATGCTTGTGGAGTCGTTCCACTGAGGCCAAACCAACTTCGATAACACAGTGGATCTTCTGATAAAAATAAATTATTAGATATGTCATCATTACAAAACTTTAATACAATATAAAAGCACTAGAGCTAATAGACTGTTGACATAAATATACAATTAACGTGAAATAACTATCTATACTAAAAGTATGTACTTATTTATCTACTTGAACACCTTGATAAATTGCTGGAGAAATTGGCATCTACCAATATTTAAAATTGATGCAGTATTCACGTCCCTTCTACCCCTGAATAAACCTCAAGATTATTTTGAATGTTGACATGCAACAGTAGAGGCATGGGACAAAACCCCACCTTCTTTGAGTACCAAAGAATTTAATTACTACTTCAGTTGATGTCAAACGATTAACTGAAGTATTAACTAATTTAATTTAGGTCACTTACTGCGAACAAAATTGGGAATCTTCCGATGGTTAAAAATTGGTAATGAAGATAAACGTGATTTTCAATATTTCAACAGTATCGGTGTCTATTCTACTGAGTTATTTTTGTTTAGTCTCTTACATGCAGTATAAGCCTCTTTTCCACCTCTCAACAGAAAAGGATTTTGGTAAACAATATGTCGAAAGATACTGAATTTTATAAAGGAATAACGAATCCCGATTGGAGATATATAATTGGCCTACAATAAAAATGTCAGTACTCAGATGATGCTCTATAACTTTGATTCTATGGGTTTTTCCTCTTAGAGAACTCATTCTCAAGTTACAGGGCCATTTATAGTAATTTGTCCCAGTTTTTGACAAATTTGGTAAAAATCAGCGTTGGTTGACTATGGTTTTATGCCTTACCGCGTAACTAAATTATAAAGTTTATGTACTCGTTTGATGCAAATTTAACGTTCTTTAATTTATTTATGAATACATTTTTGGCTTAGATGTATTGTTTAGGAGTTATAGGTGAAAAAACCAAAACATATCGAAAAAATCTGTCTTTTTATCTGTAAAAAGTTTTCCCTTGGTGTTCTGCGTCAACAATTGTGTTTTATACATGTCTAAACCCATATATACAAGTTAAACAAACTAAAACTTTTCTCACATTTTTCACAGTGGATTTCACGTTTTGATTTTCAAATTATTGGCCTAATATTCTTTAAATCAGCCACCATTTGTTAAAGCAGTGGCTCTGAAATGGCAGATAAGGTTCTTTTTACTCAGAATAACATAGACTTTCGTAATTTACAATCAAACCTTCGCCTGCGATCAGGTCGATTTTTGGGCCTTAGCTCCAGGACTATAGGGGTAGGGGTACTTGTGCAGAGCTCTTCCTAGCGAGGCAATCGGCCTTCTCATTGCCTAAAATTCTTGAGTGTCCAGGAACCCATTCAAACCTCACCTTGTTGGAACCACAGAGACTGTTCAAATTACCGTTACAATCATCCACCAACTTGGAGTGGGTAGCTTAACCATTCAGGGCGCCAATAACTGCTGGTATATATTGAAATTAGCCTGGTCATAAATCCCTTCCTTATTAGGGATTGAGCATAGGCATTGATAGCTAATACATCAGCCTGAAAGACAGAAGTGTATTTTCCTTTAGAAAGGAATGTTCCCTCATTGAGTTCTCCAGAAACCAGCCCCAGATCCTTGTTCCATCAAGGACCATCAGCATAGCACTAAACTGCATTACAAGGTCAGTGAAAGTTAATCCTGCCGATTATAACATTATGATGAATATCTATATTTTTATCAACTTGAAAATCAGAGTTCATCATGAGCACCTCGTTCCTGAAAAGTACTAATGCTTCTACCTCTATGTTCAGTGGTGTTATGTTCAGAAGAAATTCGAAGCAGCAGTGGAAGTGGTGCTCATGGCTCCATTTGTCATGAGACAGGCAAACCTTTGGAATTTTCTAAGCAGAGCTCTAGGCTTGCTTTTTGCGGCCCACAATACTACCATACTTCAGCAGCAAACAGGACTAAGATTAAGAGTCTAATGGGCCTCTCCTGGAAACAACACATCTCCAACATTTCCCGCCGTACTATTTCCACCCTGAAACAATTTAACCATCTACGTTATCTTCTTCTATTCAAAAAACATCAACCCCTGGTTTCATCTCTTGTTTTCCTCCACTTCGACTCTGGCTGTATGGCGTATGGTGGACTCTCGGGAGAACTCAAAGCCAAACTTAAACGTCTAATCAATTGCTCAATACGCTTTATCTTCGGGATCTCAATAGATATTATTGATATATAATAGATATTAGATCCTAAAATTCAAATGCTCCTTTCAATCCCCTCCCACCAGCTCCTATAGGTCCGACCTCTATCCTCATCCTCACCGAGCTGCTGCATTTGACAAATCCTTTTTAATTTAACCTGTCTCCCTCTGGAATTCCATCCCCTCTGATATTAGACAAGCTAAGTCACAGTAAAATCTCTCCTCTTCAAACACCTACTCCATTCCCGATCCGGTTGATCATGAAATGCACTAAAAATCTAAGTCGTAAGAATCTCGAAGTACCCCCAGATACTTTGATTATTTTGTGATTTATTGATATTTAATTTATTTACTTTACTTTCTCTGTTTATTTTATATTTATGTACATTTTTATATCTTTTTATTATCTGCACTTTTATTTTATTATTAATCATCCTGTAAATATTTAATTGTATTCTATGGACACAACAAATTATTAATATATATATTCTGTATTTGTAATTTGTTCTAAAGGGGCAGGACACGAGTTCAAGAATAATACAATTATTTTCATTCATTCATTCTAACCGCTGCTATGTATAGCCATAAGGCCACACTAGCCTTGAAGCCCCAAGATTTACTAATTGCTCTTTTACAAGCCCATAGGAAATGAAAAGTCTTATTATAACCTTTTCTTCTTATCTTATATTTTATACTATTTTAATATTCCTGTAAATATTTTGATTTACCTTATCACACATATCCTTCACAGCTGAAACTGACGTACATTCAAAGTAAGTTCCTTTTTTTCTATAATCTACAAAGATATTATCAGAAATTCCTTTCTCCATCATAGCCTGTGAGCAATGCATAACTTCAGGAACACATCGAGCAAATTTATCAGGAAAATCTTGGATTAGTTTTTCTGTAACACACTCGGAGAGTGGCCCGACAACCAGTACAGGTCTTAACGCAGAGTCTGAAAAGGAAGAAAATCGTTAAGTCAAACAAAGGGAAATATATATATTTTTTTTTAACTAGACATTTCATCTATAGCTAAAATTACAGTTGTAACAAAAATCAAATACAAAAGTTACTTTTTATTATAACTTTTCAAGATAGAAATTTTATTTTAAATACCAATAATGTTCTAAGGATAGACTTTCAGTGAAACTGCTCGTTGGTACAGACTCCTTTCGAACTGTTCAGTTCATTGTTATAGTCTTCATGAAATAAATATATACAGTGAGTTTATAACATTAATGAAATTCTAAAAGCAGTGTCAAGGCCTTTAAAATATTACCAGCTTCACTTCCTCAAATTTGTATAGCATGGGAACTTGATTATTGACTTGGTTACTAAACCAGTCAAGCATTCACACATTTAGATGAATTAAAAAATAAGTAAGCATTTAAATTATTTTGTTAATGTCTAAGAATTTTACGATATTATATTTTGGAGCTATTAGAGTTATTTCATGAACTTTAAGTGGCAAATGACTTGACCCTTCATTCCGCAACAAGGCATTATTCTGGGTCATCGAAGCAGTTTTGAAGACTATAATATTTGAGAACAATGTTGAAGTTATTTTAACTTTACTTTAAGTTATGTCCGCAAAATATGGTGTAAAAAGAATTAATTTAAAGCTTAAATCAATTTCAAAATATTTTTTTTTATCCTATTAAGTTATGACATGACTTTATTTTTTTATTTATTTTTAATTCATTAGTTATACTGCAATAATGAAAAACTTGACTTAAAACATCAGCTTGTTAAAGTTAATATTATTTTTTTGAGAATAAAAAAAAATTGAAAACGAATCAGTCTCTCTATTTTATAATGGACAGTACCACTAAAATCCTATCTTAATAAGTTTATTTAGAAATTAAAATTGTTTAAAACTAAGGCTTTTATGTATAATTTTAAAATATTTAAATAATAATTTGAAAACTACATACAATTCAACTTGACAACTCTTTGGTAACTGGCGAGGGAAGTTTCCTCGTTAAGCGTTCCACTGTCACTGTACCAGCCAAGGCTGATGTTAGAGAATGAGGCTAATTCTTTGGAGTCAGATCGTTGATGCTTTTTACGTCGGAAAAACGATCTTCTTGTGGCTCTTCTCGCTTCACCTTCCAAGTCTCCCAGGCTCCGCCTCACGACCATCTCTTCTTCAACTCTGCAAAAAGAAGTGATAATTTATCATATAAGTTTATGTATTGCAGTTTTCTTTGTTTCTAAAATTATAAGCGTCAATATTGAAATAAGATAAAATAATGTTTCTAGAGTAAAGACTGTCAGAGTTTCTTTAATTCAGCACAATTTTGTGTCAAAATTGGTATAAATCATCGTTTGTAAACCAGGATTTTCAACCATACCACAATTCAATTATTAAATTGTACTAATTTTACATAAACTTTTAAATTCTTTGAAGAGAAAAATGGTTGGGGTGATCAGTCAGAAACAAGAAGGCAAAAATAAATTATAATACTTATTTTGACATTGCCGAAGTTTTGACCTAAAGTTCAGGCCTTCATCAGGGCTCAGAAAAGAACCAGATAACAAGGTACGAGAAACATGAATAATGTAGGTTAAAAAAAATTAAAGTAAACTGAAGTTGGTAGAATAATGACAATAGTAAAAACTATGAGACAAATAATAATAACCGTTACAAAGTGTGAAATGATGAAGTAAACATAATCAAAAAGGCTCATTTCATTTCTTATATAACTTCATATTCCTTTTTCTGTTACATTTTATTCTAAGATTACCATTTTAATACTTATGTTACCTTTTTTTACTATTGTCACAGTTCTTACTATTGTCATTATTCTACCCACTTCATTTTACTTTAATTTTTTTTTTACCTACATTATTCATGTTTCTCATACCTTGTTCTCTGGTTCTTTTCTTAGCCCTGATGAAGGCCTGAACTTCAGGTCGAAAAGTCGGCAAATGTCAAAATAAATATTATCATTTATTTTTGCCTTCTTATTTCTGACTGATCACCCCAACCATTCTTCTCTTCATTATTCACGACAGTCAACCATTTACCCCCAATTTTAAATTCTTTAATTTCTTAAAGTGTACATTTTTAATTAGGTATACCATTGAGGAGTTATAGGTGGAAAACCAAAAAATTTCCCAAAAACAAGTTTTTTATAAATACCATAAGTTTTCCTGAGGTAGCCATGTTAGCATTTTGGTTTTTATATGTTAACGCCCAAATATAAAAGTTAAAAAGTGAAAGCTTTCCAAACACATTACCTCTGTATCAATTCTGAACTGTTTGGCCTAATATTTTTTAAAGCAACCGCTCTGGGATGACAGACAAGGTTCGTTTTACTTAAAATAACATAAACTTTCGAAATTCACATTCAAACCTTTTTCTGCTAAGATTAACTTTCTTAAGCCCTACCTCTAAGTTCTTTTTTCTATTTTTAGAGAACTTTAAGTAACGGGTTGGATTTTAAATTTAAAAAAATAAGATTACTAGATGAACCAAACAATATGTCGATGTTTCAAATTTTAAAAATCAATTTTAAAAGGTTTTCCAAATCACTATTACAGAAGAAAAATTAAAAACAGCAATGTTTTTATGCCGATGTAGCGATATTTTTTTCATTGCCAGCAGGAATTAGTGGAAGTTTCAATGTGGCCTATAGACCAAAAAGTTTAACATTTGCATACATTTTAACTATACTTTACAATATTCCTAGTATAACTCTTTATATTGTAGGAACAGAATAATCAATAAAATTTTTAATGTATTTTATTTATTTATTTTACCAAGAACCGATATCAAGTGTGAACTCGACACCATATGTAATTAAAAAGGATGTTACGTGTATTATAAAAAGTACTGCGTTGATTGTCTTTTTTTAAAGGTATTTATTACAATTAATCAACCTTATAACTTAACAATATTACAACTTAACAACTAGTAGCAATAAAATAATAATTATTAAGATAGGTCAATTAACATGCAATAGATAAATCGTCTTCCATCCATGTCATTGAATTAATTAATAATGATATTAAACTATTTTTATATAATGAGAAAAGGGGTTGTTAACAAGGGGGCAAAGTTCAATGACCATAGTTGTGTATTTATAAAGGTAAAGTGTACTAGAAAATATAAAATATGTATTTTAACAAATAATGAAAATATAATTACATGGAAGATGACTTATCTTTAACATTTAAACTGACCATGTAAGATATCTTAATTATTCTTATAGAGAGTTATACTAGAAATATTGTAAAGTATAGTTAAAGCGTTATTTTTTGTAATGTATTGTCCACTAATTTTTCAAAACGATGGTTCTGTAGATGGGGGTTATTGTCCCAAAAAGTAAACCAATAGGTGATTATTTTTTAAAAAATAATGATGAAAGTATGAAAATCAATTAAAATGCCTAGGACCTTATGTAAAAAAAAATTTATAAGACCACAAAAAAATTTGTTTCTAAATGGAATGATCTTAAAAAGAAATATTTACACATACAGGTACTTTTAAAAATCATAAGATTAACTAAATGGATATTGTAACATTAAATAATAATAAAGGGTTATTAGAATCATCATCAAAAGATAAATACTTGAATTTGCTCGGAATGATGCCACATTGGTTCCTGATGCCATCGTCATCAAGAAGCCATGCCCTCCAGCTACCTGGAACTCCATTGAACATGGTATTGTCTACGAACAGGATGTCATCTTTACGAAATCTTAACTGCAATGTGTCACCAACATCTCCAACTCGATCAAATAATGCTCTTATATAGAAACTATCACCTGGTTTGTCCTTTATTTCGTTGTAACCTATAAATAAAAATATTATTGAGATAAATCATCAAAGGATTATAATAATAATAATTGGTATAATATAATAAAGGAAATTGGTTGAGGAATGCAGTCTTAGAGAAACACAAATAAAAAATAAAAGCTTTGATTTGTTAATAAAATAAAAATATTTTATTTTTATTAGCAAAATCTGTTCTTACTACAACCCACAAATAATTTTTCAACCACATAGTTTTCATAAAAGAAAAAAATTCTGACCAAGATGACATGTCAGTACAATGCGATACAATAAATATATATTAACCACCATTCGATTAAGGGGGATAAAGGATGTGGCACTTAAATGATAAGATGAATAAAAGAAATGCCATAAGAAAAATATCTGCACCAATAAATTGACTAAATTATAAATATAAATTAAATACGTCTGCATTTTAAAAAATAATAATTACCAAATGAAGATCTCCCTCTAAAAAGTTAACATTTTTTCAATCTATTCAGTTTGAATAAAAAAAGTCTCACTTTTGACAAAATTAAAATGTTTTCAGTGTCCGCTAACTTCCTACATTATATAAGAACATGAAGAGTTTGAAAATCAACTTAAAGAATGGAGAACCCTTAAAGACCATGCGAATATCACAAATTTAATGCTTCCTCTTCACCTGCCTCCTCTTCTCCCATATGCCTCTCATGATGCCCGCGTGCTTACGTTTTCTCTCCTCAAACCACGCAACACCCTTTTTAGAGCGCTTCTTTCCCGCAAGAACCATTATTCCCCTGAGCGCCTTCCTGTACTCATCTCTGTCCAATCAATCTTGGTCTCTTAGCCCCACTTGATCCATATCATCCTTAAGCTGTTTAAAATACCTGTTTAAATTCTTATGATTGTGGATGCGCTGAAATATTTTATGGTTAAGTCTTTCAGGATTCATCCTCATCATATGGCCATAGAACCTCAACCTTTATTACAGTGTTCAGTAATTATTTTATTACTTTTCTGTAAACATTTTCTCTAGAAATACTTATATGATGAGATTTATCGGACATTTTTTGAGGGTCCTACTGTAGCAAAAGTTAACAGAAACCGACAGATAAATAAGTGGCGGTTAATTAAAGTTTTACTGCATTGCACTATCCTCATTTTGATTTTTATCCTTAACTGTAAAACTATAAAAGGCTTTTAATATTAATGCACTAACCATAGTTATGACTTTAATAAATAGACAATTACAATAAAATAGTTTAATTATCTTTTAGTTTATTATTTTTGAACATACACATAAACATAGCACTACTTGCATGAATATCTTTATTATGTCCAATATGATCAATTAAATATTAACTCATAATGACCATTAATTATAATTACATTCCTCAGGTAGTTTATTCTAATTTTAAAATTATATAAATTTTCAAATCCGCACATATAGTATTAGAGTAAGGCTCGAAATCGGTTTTGTACCAAATATAAGCTCCTGTCATGCTCAAATGCCATGAATGGGGTACCATTGGATTCAGAATATCACGGGAGGTTAGCGAATCGTATTCTCCACTTTTGTTTTTCTCTCTAAAATAAATAAAGTCGATACAAACATTTTGCTGGGCTTCAATACTAGAACGGTGGCAGGTGTGTAGATCGATAAAGGAAAAATTGGATCTTGATTATTTTGATGCGTACAGTAAGAGCCAGATAGTTTCTCCGCAACTATCGGATCCTGCGTTTATAAGCCCAAAAACGTACTATTTTTGAGATGACGCAAGGCATAGGGTTCGCAGCCACACAACCTTACATTAATTGTAGTACTGTCATTGAATACATGTCTCATTTCGTCAACTTGAGGTCTCTATGATCGAGAGGAGGAGTTTATATTATTTATCGATGGTATTTTTGATCGGTAATCCATATCATCGTTAATTTTTCACCAAATCTCAAGATTGAGCCACCAATTTCGAAGGCTTCATTCTCCTTCAGGCGGGCAACATAGTCCAATCATCCCGAAAATTTAGGCAAACCAGTTATGAAATAAAACAAACTGTATTTGCGAAAAACTAAAAAATTGCACACTTTTCCCTTGGTCATGCCCATGATTATATAAAAGATTACTAAATTCACTACAAATGAAAAAAAAAAAAATCATCGAAATCGGACAATTTTTAGCAAAGATGAAATTTGTAAACATGTTGATTCCAAACAAAAATGAAGATTTAAATTAATTTTTGTTTTCTTTGTCGATTATATTTATTAATAAAGTAACAATTCATTTCTTTATCTTTTGATACATTGCATTATTTTATTTTATTATTAATTTGCCATTTGATACCAATATGCAGTGCGAATTTTTCGCATGGGCCTACTAGTTCATTATAATTACATTCCTCATGTAGTTTATTCTAATCTTAAAATTATTTAAATTTCCAAATAAGAATTATTCCTTGTAATAAAAGCACTTACGGTCGATGCAATATTGGGCTAAGACAGTCACTTTATCTGCTGGTTTGGCCAGTTCGTAAGCAGCTTCTTCGGCCGTAGCCTGTCTCAGGTCGGTACCATTGTACTCCAAAATTCTGTCTCCAGTCCTTAAAAAGATTTATTTCACCGTAAAAATTATTGAAGAAAAAGTCATATCCTTTTTTGTATTGCCTGATACTTAACGATCAATCCAAATATATAAATGGTAAAATTAAAGCACAGCTAATAGTTTTAGAGGATCATATCACTTCATATTGTTATTAATTTTTTTTAAACCAGTCTCTGAATTTTATAAAAAACAAAAAAAAATTTTAGTTTTCAATAAATCATTTACAAATAAAATAATTAAATTTACCTCAGTCCGGCAGTGTAAGCCAAAGAACCATTTTGAACACTATGGACGTAAATTCCAACAGCATTACCTCCAACAAGACTGATTCCAAGATTGCTGCATTTATGTGTTTCAATTTGTAAGTAACGAGGATCGTCACTGCAAATTTATGACATGAATATTAAAATCAATCTATGAATATTTATCTATATTAATTAAAATATAGATTAACTCAAGAAAGTAATATTATAATAAATATTAAATTGTTTAAAGAGAAAAGTTTAAGTGAGAAAACTGTTCTGATAATTATTTTTTATGGATCTGAAAAACCAAGTCTGTTCTTCAAGAAATAATAACTTTTTAAAAGGATAGGCTAAAGCATTCTCGATCAATCTCTGCTGGCTTCAGTACAAGTGATGCGGTTGAGAGAGTAGCGCAGGGTTATCCAGGAGTCCTGGTTTTCCCTCCATAGTTGTAGGGACAAGCCTGCCTCGGGGTTCCCTCGCCTGATTGTAAATAGTGTATCTAGGTATGCATGTATTTTTAGCTTTGTTTTAATTTCCTTATTTTTAATTTATTTTATTTTATTTATTGTATACACTTTTGAATATTATTTATTGTTATTTTGCTTCTATTTATTTTATATTTTTTTGTACATATAGTGTGAATATTATCCTACCTCACTATAACTAATGTTCAAGTGACAGATTGGTGTAATACTCAATAAATAAATAAATAGTAAAAAAAAAAAAAGAAAGGATAAAGTAAAATTAAAGAGAGGTTAAGGAGACATTAAAAATAAAATTAAGCTTCTTGAAAAATTAAATAAGGACATCACCAACAGCTTTGATTAAACAGAAAAATATAGTAGAAATTTTAGCCTATTTGATGTTACGAAGACCATATCCATATACCACATTAGCTATATTGTTTAAATAATTTAGAGGTTCGTCTTCTATCTCAATCCTCAGCATGCTCAATTTATGCATTATTATAATAATCCACTCTCCAAATCTACTGTTTCTTGACCAGCAACTCTTTAAAAATACTTAACAGTTACAAAATAACTCATTGAACAATGATATAAATTGCAACCATTAAAAATTTGTCAATTTTTTCATTGAAGATATACTTTCAACAAAAATAAATTAATAAAAAAGAAAACTTTTTTTCAATCAAGTCGACAAAATTTATCTCTTCTATTTTTATTTTAGTCAATGTATTAAAATCTTAAAAAAGATATATATATTTGACTGAAGAAGTTCTATAACTATAATTTTAATATGTAAGTGAAAATTTTCTAATTTTTTAATTTAATATACTATTTTACTGTCTGTGAAATCTGTTCAATATATTACAACCGATATCGGTCTCCGATATCTGATAGCAAATATGAAGTTAATATAGTCCGTTGATCTTATATATTTGGGTTCCAAATACTAAAAAAAAAGTAGTAATAAAAAAATGCAGAAAAAAGTACATTATCAGTAATAGTTTTTTATAAGTTGTTAACAACCTGACTAATTTAATAAACTTATGACTACATAACTTAATGACTAAGTTGACTTACGAAATTTCTGTCTTATATCAGAAGCATTATAATGGAGAAGTAAGACAAACTTATTTCATAGCGTTACCACAACCCATTAGAGGAGTCGAAACAATCAATCTTGAGAGATAAAAGAAGAAAGAAAGCCATTTGGAATATTTACTGTGATGATATCCACCTCGGAGACGAAGATTGGTGGCTTAAACTGGATACAGCTTGTGCCAGCTGGGCGGGTAGGGACTTTCTGTTAGCTCGGGGGCTGTTGCACGGGGTTGGCGAGCCTGATCGTGTCTTGCTACCGCCGCTGCTTGAGCTACCAGTCGTCTCAGTCTCATGATATTCTGAAAAACAATTATAACCATGTAATCTCGGTAAACTAACATATAAATATGTCCCACCTTTACGACGAGTTAAAGTGGCTCTTCCCTTCTTTCCGCAGACAATATTTCCTCGGATGTTTCCTATTCTAAACAATCAACACCAGACACCCTTCCTACATCTACAGTCTCCTACAGTTTAAACCCGTGGTCCACTCCCAGAAAACAAGATCCCGTGTGTTTAAACCCGTGGTCCACTACCAGAAAACAAGATCCCGTGTTTCCGACATTTATATCCCTTCCCATAGAACTAAGACATTTGAATATTTCTTTATTGCCCGATCCACAGCCTTCTGGAATTCCTTGCCATCTGAAATCCGCCATGCCTCTTCCTTGTCCTCATTTAAATATCATCTCTACCAATTCCTTCTCACATCCCAAAATGACGTTATACAATAAAATAAATATTGCGAAACAGATTTTGACTGAGGTGAATGGTTGATAAAATTGATTGAGTTTTAATTTTTAAAATCAACCCATGCTTATTTTATTTTGTTTTCTTTTCATTTAAATGTTTTGTTTTTTTTATATTTCGTTTTTTCTCAAAATTTTATTTTATTTTTACTTGTTTTAATTTAATTTCACTGAAGATAATGTATATATTCTTTAATATTGATTAATGTAATTTTTGGCCAGATGTAGTTTTTATTTGTTTTGTTCATATCAGTTATTCATAAGGGACCTTGTTTCAGAATAAAGTTTACTTTCTATTCTATTCTATTCTATAAAAAGAAAAAAAATTGCCAAATATCAATTTTTGCACATAAAAATGTGTAAAAATTTAATAGAAGATAAACAATACAATAAATTCATCAACATGACTTTATGCTACATGCTAGGTCTTACTATATTATAGGCAGAGAAGCTTTTCAGAATAGAATTTTAAAAAACATTATTTTAAGACAAAGTCCCTTAAGAATAACAATGGTGTATAAAAAACGTCTGCCAAGTAAGGTCAGTATAGCTTCCTCACCGTTTGCATTGGCTAAAAAATATCTATATCACAAGATCTACAGGCAATTTTTTGCTTGAGAATAAAAACTCTGGAAGAAGCCGTTTTTGGAAATTCAGTAATCTCTCAACATACGGGTTTGATATCCACGAGTTTTGTTCATCAGCGAATACTAAAATGTGAAAAAGATCCACATAAGTAGATTACATATTTGCTGATTCGGGATTAAAAAAAAAAAATCCAGTGTGTACTGAACATGAATATCACTACTGTTAGTGCAAAAGGTCATACGTAAACATTAAGAGTTTTACAGGAAAGCACAAAAACTAATTGTTTCTTTATGATTTATTAGTATAATTTCACTATTTATTGTCCTCAGCTATTTTTCATTGTAGCAGAATGCTTATATCAGTTGCAGAATACAAAATGTTACCTTTAGCACAAATAGAATTAAAAGTTGAAAATGTTTACATACCATCTTTTGCACTAACAGTAGTAATATGTACTTAATCGGCACGTTTTCACTCTAAAAATGGATGGTACAAAACATCCATAAGAAAAACTAAACTTTTTGTTTTTTCTGAGTTAACGAGACAAATACTTTTCTTCAGTCAGAACAAAACTATTTAAGCTGTAATTTAAAAATATATGTAAAAATCACACAGAAACTCAATACCACGACGAGCTAGTTGAACTTCATTAGAAACAAACACGATCACAAATAAGATTATTCTTTTTTGCAACCTCAGAGTAAAAAGTAATTTAAATTTATTGATTAATATACCTTTGGTAGTGAGGAAGTAAAAACAAACATTAATTCTGCCATAAGACACATTAAGCTGGGTAACCACTATGTTCGCAAACCATTAATTTTTATTGGTATAATAATAACTTTACCGTATAATAATACAAACTCCTGTAACTCTATTTATGGGAAGAGGGTTCGTGAACATGGCCTCTCTACAAACAATTGCATTCACATGATCGTTAAAAGAACAATGTCATCCGAGATAGTGACAAGTGCAGCCTACATTTCCATCCATTATTCGGTAAAAGACTATAGAAGACCTCCTCATTTTGGCGATCAAAACTTTAAGAACAAAGGGCTAAAAATTAATTACTGTTGGACCTAAACACTTGGCGGGCACTACAGAAATTTTTCATGAATGTCTTTCTCAAATTTCAAAAATCTTTTAAACTTAGTAGCACCATTTATTCAAATAAAATACACTAATTGTAAATTCCAAAAGGCTCAGATAAGCTCACTTTAACATTGTGATTTCTGGCAACTAGTGATAATTTTATTAGGTAATTTTTTTATAGGAGACTGTGTTCCTATTCCTGCTCCTCTTCATGGAGTTCCGAAACGGACGCCAGGCGAATAAAGTTGTTGGACCCCTCTGCCGCAAATGTTGCTGAGAGCCAGAAACTTCAGCTCATGTACTGGACAATTGTCCGAATAACATGCTCCTTGTCACCAGCGGGCACAATAATGTAAAGCATCAAGTTGTAAATTCCTAGAGATGAAAAAGTATAGGTGCTTCCTTGAAGTGTATTGCATAGATTCAGAAGGCTCTTCGAGATTTGTAGATATCTTAGCCTTTAGTGCGAAAGGAAAAGAGGCTCTGATCGTCGATCCTACAATACGATTTGTAACAAACGATGAGGATCAAGGATCTTAAAATACAAATAGAAAAAGAGGAGATCTATAAAAAATGTATTCCGTACCTGAAGGAGAATTACAGAGAGGAATTTGGTGAAAGAGAGTACTCGGTTCAGGGACAGTGGTTCGGGAGTAGAGGAGGGATTCCACCTTCAACTGCTCTGTTTTTGGAGAGGCTGAGTGTAGAAAGGAGTGATCTGCAGAGTATGGCGGAGTCAATAATTTTGGACTCGGGAATCCTGCACCATAACATATATTGATTCTGTGCAATTCGTGGTGAGTTCTACAGACAGTCATGAGAAGAAAGAAAATTGAGTGTAGCAATAAGAAAATAAAGGATAACATTAGGTACTTTGAATGATAGTCCTGCAAAACTCTATTCTTTATCCTCTCTCATTAAATGTTATCTATTAGGAATGGAAAGTATACTGGGATTGATCAGTATGCTGGGTGTTGTAGCAACTCAACATAGTTGAGCAACTGTTCAGCTTTGTTGAACTTTTCTCTAAGATTTCACAATATCGGATATTTTTGGTATATTTTAATAAGTAGAAGACCCTTTTCGTTCATCCACTCCATCGAACAATTTACACAAATGACCAATGTTGGCTGAATGCTGTCCACGAACTTGCTCTGCTCCTCTTTAAGTTTGGGAAAAAACAGCCATTGGAGAGCTCTATAATATTCTCGACTTATTACATACTACATGGTTCACGAACATAGTGGATATCCAGCTTTACAATCAATAGGTTACGATAATCATAACTATCATTAGAGATGGTATTATATAAATTAAACAGCAATAAATGAGAGCGCCAGATTTTGATATTTTTATTTGAAAATAAAAACAACCCTTTTCATAGATTTGCCACATTTCAAAACTATTTCTTTGCACCACTGTTTAGAATTCCTTTCCTTCTAAAATCAATCATGTATCCTCCTTATCCACATTTAAAACTCTCATATTACAATTTCCTCTTCAGAAATAAATCAGATCAAGTAAGCTGATGAAAAAAATTAAACTAATATAAAATATAAGAAGAAATACTTACTCTCTGGGCTATACTGGACAAGCATCGTGATCGAATTGCCACACTGGCGGAGGACGGAGGCAGCAAGCTGGTAAGTAGCGCTCCTCATGTTTATGCCACAGACTTCAAGAAGTTGATCACCAACCTGCAGGCCAACTTGAGAAGCCAGCGAGTTGTCGTTTACAGTAGATACAAAAACCCCTCCACTCTCCAGGCATGAGATCTGAATGCCCAGCGGTTCCACAGACTTGTCTATATGGACCCGCCTTAGCTCACCGGGCGATGGTCTATAATAATAAAATATAATGAAATAAATAAATCTGATAGATAAAAAAACATGTTAATAATTTGATAATAAGAGGTCTGTACCACAGACTATATTACTGAATAAATAAAATCATTAAATATTATCGTACTTGTGGGGCCAACAATAATCAGGAAGAGAATTAGTTTTGTTTTGACGAAGCCCGGGGCTTAAGACTTCAACATGAAAAGTAGGCATAGGGCTCCCTCTCTCTGATGACTTTTCAATACTTCCTGAAGACATTTTACCACCACTACCTTTACTAGCCACGCTGGGGTTGGATGGAATCCTAATAACCAACAAAAGCATTTTTAACTATATGAAAACCAAATTCATATACATTTTCGCAGCATCAAATTCGATTTTCTTTTTTCTGATAAACAATAAATCATTTAAATGCTTCACTCACCTAAATCTTGGATTTTCCTTTTTTCTTGGAAAGGTGCCACCTTCGTAATGCTGGAAGCTGGGGTGATCGGTATCATCAGATGGATGCGAATGGGCCGAAGCTAAAGACCTCGTCTTGTGGTAGTGAGAATCCATGGACGGTGAGTGTGTGTGAGGATACTAGAACATTAAATTTAAATTAACAACTAATCCGTGAATAAGAAACAATCAACTTTAAAAATATTTTAAGATAAAAGGATCTTTCCCTTTAGAAAATCTTTTATCGAGGCAAAGATAAAATTATCGGACTTAAACATAATTCTTCTAATGCTTGGTACTGAAAGTATTGAATATTTGGTCATATAAATTCAAGCCACTGCCTTACTCAATTCTCACAACTTTACAATAGGTTACTATCATTTATAATACAAATACAAATCTTCTTCTGTTATAATTTGAAACATATCTCAACTCCAAAATATATTGGTAATATATATGTGGCATATTTATGGTTATCATTCAATCGGGTATACACAAATTAATCCAGTTTATTTTTGTTAAAATTGAGTTAGGAAATGTTACAATTTTTGAACATTTGTTAACTTAAATGGTTAGCTTTTCTTTTTCTTTTTGGTTTTTCCTTCTAAAATTTTTACTTTTACAAAAAAAAAATTTTTTTTATTTATTCCTCGGGGACAATTCGTCAATTTTAATAAACATATGTATGTTTAATTTGATAAATACCTAGTTTGGCATTTAATTACAAGCAATAATTTTATCTTTTACGTAAAACTTTAAATGCTTTAAGACTTGTTATGAATTGTTATTTACTAATTAAACAAAAATGACAGACAAAATATTAATTTTCAATTCATATCGAAAAATTAAATTATCTTGAATTAAAATTTGATATAAATACATTATTCAAAAATGAATACAAACATGCATTCTTGAGATTTACCCATCTGAATAATAATAATACTCAATAAGAAATGAACATAAAATAAATAATCTGATTAAACATAAAAAAGTTGGAAAAACAAAAGGAGTAACAATATTTCAACAATAATTACAGTCACTCTGAGCACAATCTTCCACAGTAATATAAACAAATGGATCGCCATTATAGGTCGCATTCTGTTTGCCTGAGCCCTGAATGCTGTTTCCAAAATATTAATTAAAATTATTTGTTAATTATTTTATAACAGAAAGATACACTTACTTTCATAAAATAGATTACAAAAATATGACTTTTTTAGTGTTATTAAAAAAATGTTTGTAACTGTTTTTATGGTTTTATTTGTCTATACTGCACTTGCTATCACATCAATATACAATTCTGTGTGGCGATTGCATTAAATTTGCTACAATTATACTTTTATTTTTATTACTCATTATTAGCACGTCTTAAATATATCTTTGCTATTTGTGGAGATTAAAAATGCATTCTATGTACTGATTTCTTTGTGTTCTGGTACCACAGGCATCAAATCAGGCACTATGATTGTCAGGAAAAAGATATTGTACTGCCATTATTTTGTTTGTTTTTTTAACTACTTGTTAACTACATGAAAATGGATACCATACTATTTATTAATTAAACTAAATAGAATGTAATGAAAACAAAAACATAAAACTCGGTGCTAACCTGAAGAGGATTGTAAGAGGGTTCAAAACTGAAAGACCTGGTATCGGATGGTACATGGTAACTAGGGGGAGGTGAGTGGGGGTGAGTGTGCGGATGGATAAAAGGGGTGAAGGGGTAATGGGGGGAGCCATACAGCTGCGAGTGGATCCTGATGTGGCTGTCGCTCACTTCTGCTCGCCCCTTCTTCTTCACGTAGTAGTCGAGCTCTTTGCCAAAGTTACCTAAACATGATATGAGAATGATTTACACAAAACTCAAATTATAAGAACTTAAAAGAGTACTAAAAATAAAAATATAAAGAAATACAGGATTCATACTCAAAAATTTATTAAGAAGAAAATAAAACTTCTGATTTTAAACATTGACAAATGGTTTGAGTAATTTTTAACATGAAAATTCATAGTAGTGTCTAATGTCAATTTTAATCAAATTTTTTCTGATAATTTCATAATTAAAATAAACCAACACGTAATCATTCATTTCATATAATAGGGCCTTCGGAACTAATTACAAAAGTTATAATTATACCAAGAAGGAACCATTACTGGTCTACTGAGCGAAAGAAAGAAAAAAAAGAGGATATTTAAAGTTTTAAGTTTAACATTTAAACATTTTAAATTCACAATTAAATACATACAGTTTTTATCACATTTTTGGCCAACTATATTACCTTAATAATTTTATATTACTAGCCAAATAGCAAAATACGTTATATTGTTAACATTTCAGAGAACTGTTCACATCTTTAGAAGATTTCTAAAATTTATTTGGTATTATCTTTAATGGCCAATGTATTTCCAAAAGGACTTGGTATTTTTAATACAAAAAAGAGTCCGTTACCGTATTATGTTAATAATGTGTATAATATAAAATTTTAGATAGCGTGTATACAAAATTTATATTTATGCAGAATTAGACATAATATAAAATAAATTTTACAGATGTTATGAAGATGATGATGACTCCCTGTAGTTAAAAAAATAATAAATTTTGGTTTTTGACTAATAAGAAATAACTAAAAACAAAGTCTAGTTGGCCAAAAATTAAATCAAATAGATAAAAAACAAAACAAAAGACTTCAGGAAATTTATAAGATATAAATATATCACCTGACTTGACGGAAAAATCTATGGTAGTATTATTCCTCCGGGTAGGCGGTTCACAACAAGGAGGTAAAGGATAATTGGGCGGATTAGTAAGGAGGACAGACAATGGAAGACGTTCCTTATTCTTCCTGGGATGCAATATAGTACCAGTTCCAGCTTCGATTATTGGACCACCCCTAAAAAAATTAAAATGTGAAAAATTAATGCCCAGGCGTAATTTTAATATAATGCAAAACTTAAAGATAATATATCATGAATAACATACCTAGCTTTAGGCCAGGTTCCTCCATTTTTATCATGGTATTTAGGTCTCCGTCGTACTGTTCCTCCACCTCTAGAGTGGTAGCTATCTATTACACTGTCCAGCTCGGCAATAGCATCATCGCGCTCCTGCTCAAACGTTATGGGGGAAGAATTTCTATTCCTTTTCTTTTCTTCTGATTCTCTTACTTCCCTCACCCACTTAGAATCCCCATTGGCTCCGCTTGATTCTAAAAAAAGATTAAAATTTACATTTAGTTAAATTTCATCGATCAATACATTATTTTCATAACATTATTATTATTTTGTTATTTCTTTTAATTTATTTTTATTTCCTGTAAATATAAATTATTACAAACGTCCTTATGTGTGACAGAATGTAATACCAACTCAATAAATCAGCAGATTTTATTTTGTTTTTAAATAATGAATAACTGACTGCTCTATATTCAGCATCAGTATTTTAAAAATCTCGATTGAAATTTTTATGAACCATGAATTTTTATTTAACCATTTCCATTTAAAAAAATGTTTATACATTGTATAAAAATTCCCTTAAAAAAATATGTATCTATATAAATAAAATAAAGATTTTGTCTGTACACTGAATAGAATCAATCAGTTTTATAATATATTTCCGTTTCAGACATTGCAGACACCAAATCCATTTTAAAAAAATTTTTTGTCTGTTTGTATGTCCGCATTGCAACAAAATTTTGTCAGCGGTAAGCTCAGCAATGGCTTATTGTAGATTTTTGAAATTTTGACATTATATTAAGGTTTACTTGACTTAAAACATAGGCTTTAAATGAAAACAAAATATTGGGTAGAACCAAAGTTATGAATAGTGGAGTAATGTGTCTAGAGATCTCGGTTAATGTTGATTACAAATGTTTATAATAAACATATGTTTATAGGTTAAAGGACATCTATGTAAATAAAATAAAGGTTTTGTCTGTACATTGAATTGAATCAACCCGTTTCATATCTTTTCGTTTCATACATTACAGACACCAAATCTACTTTTAAAACATTTTTTTGTTTGTATGTCCGCATTGCAACAAAATTTTGTCAGGAGTAAGCTCAGCAATGGCTTAATGTAGACTTTTGAAATTTTTACATTATATTAAGGTTTACTTGACTTAAAACATAGACTTTGCCCGATCTTCCCGTTCAAGGTGTCATTCTATTCAACTTTTCGACCCTAACAAATGATGTATCCATTTTTAGGATTAACCAAACAGATTAGCCGGAAACCAGAAGAAAAACTTCTAAAAATTTAAACTATCTCTTCCTTCTCACCCAATGTTATGAAATTAACCTCCCTAATACAATTAACCCCATAATACAATATCCATCTCAAAAAAAGATTCTCAAATTTTAACTAAACACCCGTCAACGATGGGTACATCTGCTAGTATAAAATATAATTATCATCAAAAATAGACATTCAGTTAATGTTTGTAATTTAAAAAGAAAAATTTGAAAGTTTCACATGGCAATAGAAATTTGTTTAAGAAGTATGTACAAGTAAAAGCCACTTATAATTCCTAAAAAGAAAAGTGAAAAATAAAATTATACAGTTTGCCATCATAAAAAAGAAAAGAAAAAATGTAAATATTGATTATGATCTATTTTCATTAACTAAAGTCATTATCAATCAATGGATAGTTCATTGCATGCTTCTGCCTTTGATTATCTTTTGATCAGACCAACAATATTATTTGTTTAAGAATAAAAAATTTAAAAACAAACCTGATGGCAAATTTGAGAGAGGATTGGGACGGTAAACGGGTGGTGACGTTTGCATATCTTGAGATTGTGTCTGAGTGCCAGCATTCGACTGCTTTCCAGTATAGGCCACGCTATTGCTAGAACACTTGAGCGTCTGAATGACGAGGACGTCGTTAGGTTCGTTAAGAATGCTCATTGCTTCCCTTGAGCTCATCAGCCCTTCTACACTCTTGTTGTTAATCTGAAAAAATACCAAAATCAGAATAGCATTACATTAGTTTCTAAGAAAAGATATTATATTTTTTATGCTAAAGATAAAGTCGTTTATCAATGATAGTATCAGCACAACCACAAAGAATCTATTTTTAAAAAATATAATGTAATAAAAAATCAATGAGCAGATAAACATTTCCATAACACCAGAACCCAAACAAAAACTAATAACAGGGGCTTTCCACATTTCTGTATGTACAAAGAAACAAACATTATGGACATAAGGAAGTGTCATTCTGGTACTTGTGAATGACGTGGTCTCTATGGACTGCTATCTGCCAATGTTTATAACCTGAACACCAATAATTGTGATAAGGCACTGATAATCCCTATAACCATAACCTGAGATCAACCATAAATTAATTTGAAAGCAGTTGAAAAGGTAATCTTCGATCCCTCTAACCACGTCCGATACGTTTTCTTACAAATTTTACGAAAGCATCTCCATTTCGTCTTCCCGTCGAACTTCATTTCATGACCTTCACCACAATATTTCATCTTTGCAATTATCTCAGCGTCTTAAAAATATTTGATAGCCTCTTCTTCTGAAGACGGCAATTCCCACAATGTAATAACATCCATTTCAATAACACACACGCAACAGCTTACACTAGATAAAAAGGCAGGTTATGTGGCGTAACATAAGATAAGAAGAGAGGTTTACCAGAGACCAGATCGTCCACAAGTACCATCATTCCGCTAACCAATTGAAATTTTAAAAAATGGTCGACGATTAAAAATCATACCATGAAATTCAATATCTCTCAAACAGAGGGACACAAACAAGCAAACACTTACCTTAAGAAACACCCTGCTTACACATTTGTGTTTCCCATAGTTTGTAAGATATGTAAAAGCAGCTCTAAAGGATAAAATTTAATGAAAATATTATTCATCAGAAAAAAAAGCACATTAAAGAAAAATATAAAATATGAGGTCTGTTATGCCACACTAGGTTATCTTTAAAATTTTATGAAAAAATGTGAATTCCTGAGCAAATGGAATAATTTTTTTAAACAACTAATGCTCTATGAATTTTAGAGTTTTCAGAAATCTGACACTCTATGTTGGACTCAGTAGGTTTTAGCATGACTATCGCTTCAAACTAATTGAAGTTCCTTGAAAAATGTCTGTTTAAATCTTGATTATTTTTATTGGGAGGTGGAAAGGGAGATGAGGGTTATGAAAATGCTTTATGAGGATTTTTCCGTCAAATTCACAAATTATTTCATTTGATGTAAGATATCATCACAGATAAATTCGTTTGGCTTTTTTAGCATGGTTAAAAGATATTTTGAAACAATTACTTCTAGCTATAGATATACTTAGAGACGACTGATTTTCAACGATTTATTGGGGTTTAAAGTATGATAAGCCCCAGGGTGACTTAGGAAAAAAAATAGGACAGGCATAGACCTCAAACCTAGTAGATTGATAATGAAAAACACAATATGAATTCAAGTAAATGTTATTCTAGGAGACCTATTCACCTTAAATAACGAAATGTACTGTTCCAGTAACATTAATAATAACAGCTATGGCTTGAAATAATAAACACTAGAATTTTAAATGAAAAGACTAGAATTCACAATAAATGAAAATATTTATATAATAAAAAGATTTTTCTAATACTTATTTGTACAAACAGATAATAAAATTAATAACAATCAAATAAAATCAACATACATATATCTTAATTATTACATAAAGGCTTAAGATTGAAAGTTCAATAAGTGAATAAATATTTGATGTTAGAATGAAGCTAAATAAGATAATAAAATTAATAACAATCAAATAAAATCAACATACATATATCTTAATTATTACATAAAGGCTTAAGATTGAAAGTTCAATAAGTGAATAAATATTTGATGTTAGAATGAAGCAAAATAAGAGGCTTTAAGAATGAAAATGGAAAAATTCCAAAACAAGGTAGCACAAATTATAAAGAATTTTTTAAGTGGAAACTTCTTTAAGCACGTTTAGCAATTTTTTTGTGGAAAGAAAATTATATTGAGCCATCAGATTTCTGATGTATATGCTCGAGTAAAGTCGGCTAGAGTCAATTAATTAAAGGGTTTTTGCATTTGGATTAAAATATCTCAGAAACTAAAAATCGAACTTGCGTATTGTAAGGGAGGGCAATGTTCATTATGTCTTCCTCTTTGTAATGTGCTGTTTCAAAAACCAAATGATAATGAGTGTTATTGAAGATATGGATTAAAATATCTCAGAAACTAAAATTCGGAACGGTATACTGTAAGCGAGGAATATGTTCAACATTTCATTCTCTATGAAATAATTGGCTATTATTCAAATTTCCATCTTAATCCAAAGCTGTGTTAGAGAGGCGAAGAGGAAAAAATAGTATCCAAAACCAAATGATAATGAGTTTTATTGAAAAAAGACTCAGAAACTAAAATTGGATCTGCATACTGAAAGAGAGGGAAATGTTCAGCATTTCATTCCCTTTATAATGAGCTATTATTTGTAATTTATATTTTGTATTATTAATCTCGCCTTGTAGTTTTTAAAATAAGGAATTCTATCGTTTGAAATAAATAAGTTTATGGGCTGAGATGTTATATTTAAAGAGTGAAAAGAAGAGGTAATAACAATGACTTTTATTATAAATTTGTTATTCAAGTCAGATGAAGGAACACGGATTAGTAATTAATAACAAATAATTACACTTATTACTCTGAACACGGATTAGTAATTAATAACAAATACTTACACTTATTACTCTATCACCGACAGCTAAATTTCCCTCTCTAGCTGCCAAAGATCCTGGCGAAATTTTGCTTATAAAAATGCCTGCTTCTAAAGTCAGACCATGATCATAGTTCTTTAACTGCAGCTGTAATTTAACAAATATTCAAAATATATGTTTATAAATATATTACTGATGAAATATGTATAAATTAATTTAATTATTAAATACAACTTATACTACTAAAAGCATTTAAATCTTGTTTTCAGTTCTTCATAAAAAAAAATTCATTTCTAGAACACGAAAGTGCCTTTCCTGTTTTCTTGCTGTAATATATTCAGTTCATGAGGAATCCTTTTTTCCCTCTTCTGGATCTTTCCATGGCTTTCAAACGTATGGAGATGTCTTCTTATGTTACGTTCAATATATCTGCAAATTGTAGTTTATTTGACCATCATTCTCATCCAAGCAATGCTTGCAATTCGCATCTTTAAACGTTTTCAGTGGTCTTCCGAATTCTTCATTTCTCATGTCAAAATTGTCACTTTTAAATTTTTTTAAACTACCTAATACATTGTGATATACTTCTATATGAATTTCAAATATTACTTCATAATTCATAATCATTTGGAATAGTTAATGTACTCATAATTTTGATGAAAAACGCATGTTTTAATTATTATTAGAAGCATTATCAAGGTGGCTACCAGACAGTTAAAGTAAAATTCCATGACGTTTCCCTATTTAATAGTTTTCCCAGACCAATATGTCTGGGGACACAAATGTTAAAAATTTATAATTTATAACTAAATTTATTTATTATACATGAGAGAAAATTGACTGTAAAATGATTTGAGTAAAAACAAAAAATCAGTCTTTTAAATAACAAATAACAAGTTTTAGGGGGAACATTTTTTATTTTAGAAAACTATACTTTTAGTAATTTTATTTTATTTTCATAAATTGAGAGGAGGTAAAAGTTGAAGGTTGACATATAAAGCTCTGATTTTTTTCTATTATAAAATAAGGTGAGCTACGGGAGATAATAATTATCCATATAACACCAACTGTGCAATTTCTGGTTAATAAATGATCTATTAAGGAGCAACATGGGTCGAACGAATGAGTGCTCGCCAGCCAGATCCGGACTCAGATGTATATATTACAAATAGTAAATAGCATTGGTATTTTTTTTTATTTCAAAAAATGACTATTTTAAGTTCATTTAGCTTAGAGTTTATTCATTACCCTTGTATGATTTTAATATAATGAACCATTATTGACAATTAAAGGTGGATGAATATAGCAACCGAATGCCAAATTTTACCCCTTCAAGGTCATAATATCCACTGTACATTTATTTCCAATTTGAAAAAAATATTTAAGTACTAAAAAAAATTCCCTGACTTTAACAACTTTTCCCTGACTTCTCCTCGTTTTGAAAATTCCCTGACTTTTCTCATTTTTCTAAGTCATTCGCCGCCCTGATAATTTAACCTGGATGAAACCATGGGGCAATGTTAGCTAAACATAAAAATGTATTAAAACACATTTTAAGATGTTGATTAATAACGAACAAATAAAATAGTATGAAATGAGTAAAAATATTTCTATATAATTCAAACATTGTTTTCATGGTTCTTAAGTAGAAGATGGAAAGTATTAACAAACCTGAGTAGTGAAGAGTCGCCGCCTCCTCACAACCATTATCACAGTGCTGCCGCTTGATTTCATTGTTTCCAAAACGAATCTCTTACTAACATTACTACAGTCTTTATTATTTACCCGTACTATGCAGTCATTAGGTCTATAGTTACAAAAAATAAAATAAGAAATTTTTAACAAATACTAGTAAATTCTAAAAATTAATTATTTTATAATTACTTCAATTTTCCATCTGCTACACTCCCTTTGGCAATCGACGAGACGTAGATACCGTTGTCGTTGGGATAATTAGGATCGTCTCTTCCGCCCACCAATTCTATTCCTAAGTCATCAGCCGTACTGAATCCATTCTATAAAGTCATAATAAATAAATGTTAGAAATATGAATAAATTATTAACTTAATTTGGTATACAAAAAATTTAAAATAATTGAACTGATAAGGTCCAAGGGTGTAGATTAGGTTGTCACTGTTCCAAACAGAGACTCTGTTACACGTCACTGCTCCACCAGTACCGTCACAACCCTACTTATCCTTCTCATCCTGTCTAAATTTATACACCCCATTTTTATAAAAGTAAATAGATACACAAAGACCGGCTTATTTGACTAACAGAGAGATTAAAGTTTAGAAGGACAGGTTACAGATTTTAAAAGACGAACGACAATAGCACAGTGAGAGAAAGATTACAATATATATATATATATATATGTGTGTGTGTACATAGAATAATGAGTAAAAGTTTATGAAATTAAATAAAATGGAAAATTCACTACTCACTAAATCTATACTAAGCATTTCAGTATCCCATTCCTGCATGTCTGTGTCGATCGCGGAGTCATGGCTATAGTTATGGCTAACGGTATGAAGCTGAACCATCCTATTTTCCTTTTCCATTTGAGCCTCCATTTTTTCCCTAGAAAAAGGGAAAGCTTATAAGCATTGAATTTGAAATTTATTATTTTATTAATATATTATACTTTTATGACAGCACAAACTTAATACAAATTATAGCCTTAAAAATGATCAATTTACTTACTTGAGAACTTTGAGCTGTTTAGAAGTTTCATTTCTCTGCTTTTTTATATCATCCGAGTCCCTAAGAGCCTCGGCTAGCTCCGACACAGCACGATCTCTTTCCTTCCTCAACTTGTCGCACAGGGTACGAATACTCTCCCTCTCGAGCACTATTTTATCCCTCTCACTGAATGCCCAATCTCTCCTTCTCTTGCACACTTCTGCTTCTTGCAAGGCCTCTGTAAAAACAATATAATTAAATAAACATAAAATGACTATGGGTTCTATAATTAGTTGAACTATATATTTTTTTGGTAACACCATAATCAGCAGGTTTATTAAGAATAAAAAAAAAAGAATAGCAAAATTATTTGAATTGTAATTAAAGTTATACAGCTGAACCAATTGAAACTCACAGTATAGAATGAAAATTAAAAAAAAAGTAGGATTTAAGAGATTTTTGTTCCATCAGTGAATTAATAAACATTAAAAAAAATTAAATGGATGGTCAATGATTAGAGCACATGTAATCATGACGACTAAATAAAAAAAAGGAGGGGAGGAGGAATCATGTTGCTAGTTTAAATGGTTGTTTGGAATGTTTCAAACAGATGACAACTTGAAATAAAATTATCCCTCATCACGAACACTGTTTTTTTTTTCAATCTGTTCTTTACATTGTTTCACAAGACAGACTAGCAACAAAATTATTTATTTTGTTTTTAAAATTCTTAACTTATTCAGGTTATATACCATATGACAGTATCTTTTTTTAATTTATATCTCATATATAAAGAAACTTTCAATGTCCAGTCACCATTTTTCATAAAGAAAAATATATTTTTTTTAATAATTTCATCTTTTAATTGGATTCTATTGAGATGAATATGATGCTGGACAACAAAATTAGTTCTTACTTGATATTTTCCTTTTCCAAGTCCTCAGAACTAAAAATCCTCCCTACATCTTAGAACTCCTTACTCTATGCTCCTCTATTCACTCTCTTAATACCAGATCTCAACCTATAGATCTATATACTCCCTCCCATAAAACCACTTCCTTCAGCAAATCCTTCGTCATTCGTGTTACTTCCTTTTGGAATTCCTAACTTATCTTCATACGTCAAACCACATCCACAAATTCCTTCAAACAACTAATATTCTAACACCTGCTAAACATTCAATCTTCCGCAAGTTTATAAGAAATTGTAGGCTAAGTAACTACAGCAGCCAATTGATAAGAGCTATTTTATTTTTATTTAATTATTTTCCTGTATATATTTGTATTTTCCTTAGTGTCCACCCCTCTTTAGATGTAAAATTAAAAAGAGATACAGTATACAACCTGAATAATTAGAAATAGTCCAATAAAAACTAATAAATACTTAACTTTTACATTATAACATTAATACATATCTCATTTAATAGGTCAGAAACTTAAATCTACATACACAGTGCATCATGTGAGTGGAAAGAAATATTTAAAGGGGCAATAGCAGACCAGAAAAAAGTTTATGTAAATAATGGCCCGATTTTTGGCAGAAAGGTAGGAAATTAAAATTTTGTGTTTTTTTTTTAGTAGGTTATGAATATAATTCATGATTTTTTAATAATAGAACTCAGCTTGGTTTATTCGTTCAAAATCCTCTTCAAAAGGTTTTAGCAATGATGGACTCTACTTTCATAATTGGTAATTGGTTGACTGTCGTGGATAATGAAGAGAAGAATAGTTGGGGTGCTCAGTCAAAAAGGAAGGCAAAAAATAAATTATAATATTTATTTTTTACATATGCCGACATTTCGACCTGAAGTTCAGGCCTTCATCAGGGCTAAGAAAATAACCAGATAACAAGAAGTGAATAAGTGACTCTACTTTCAATTGGAATAAATTTTCTCCAGTTTACTGAGCAGCAATTGTTAATTACTTAAATTGAAATTTTTTTTTTAATAATCGTTTCCTATTCAACAAAAAAATGTAACTTACTTAAAAACACACACAACTTAAAATGTCCTACAATTTTACTGAAAATTTGACTATTGTTTACATCAGCTATCATTCATATTAATATTTCCGTCTACTAACGGAACACCCTGTATATTATGTAATATCTATTGCAAATGTAATAAAGGTGAAGGAAAAGATTTATTTAAAAAAAATAATAATGTGAATAAGAAAGAGGGAACAACTAAAATATTTATCACGGACATTTTACACTGAATTCGGTTTAATTTGGATACCTAACCCAATTCAGCGGAACTCTATTGTATCCCTTTATTTTATTTTATATTTTCATTGAATGGAGATTTTACTTTAGACGATGGTCTCAATACTATATGAATATTTGGATTTTATTTAAACATTAGTTTTGTTTTGCCCCAAAACCCAAAACAACAATATTAGTTTTTGAGATATAGATTTTTTAAGATTTTAATCATTATATCCCTTTACCTTGTAGTTCTTGCTGGGCTTTATCTGCATGTTTCCTCAGCCTGTCTATTTCCTGATTAGCTTGGTCTAAGTTGTCCATACGTTCTTTCTGGCATTTTCCGAATAAGTCCATAGAACTTGATTGCACTTCTCGTAAGTCTTTCCGGCCTGCATCCCTAAAAAAATTACAAAATCATTTATAATAAACTTACTAATGACATTAGATCATATAATTTGAAGGGTTAGAGAGAAAAAACAAGTAAGTTAATTTATGAGGAGTTAGTCGAGGGTGCGGTCAAATAATAAAAAATTAAAATATATTAACTATTTTAATTTTTGCCGACGTTTCGACCCACTTTGCAGGTCGTCTTCAGGGTGTAAGATGTGGCAGTTGAAACACTGCAGTGTGGGTCGAAACGTCAGCAAAAATTAAAATAGTTAATATATTTTAATTTTTTATTATTTGACCGTACCCTCGACTAACTCCTTCTCATATTATATCGACGGTCAACCATCTCTACATCGTAAGTTAATTTAATTTAATTTTTTTTATTTAGTTTTTTGTTTCAAAGAATTTACTTATTTATTTGAATGTTTCGACCACTGGGATCATTTATACTGAACTCTCTTTCATTTTTTTTTTTTTTTTTAATCTAATGGAATCATGATGCATTGTGTTAGTATGTGAAGTATACTGTTAGAACACACCCACCATAGGAACATGTCAGCAATTCTTTCTTCTTCATTAGATAACTATGGGTGAGTCGACAATGGCCAATCTTGAGGTGTTTAAGAACTACCTCTTCTCTCCGTGACAACTGTAGATTTTTCCTAGGATGTTTTTTTCTTATTTTATTCTCTGTCATGACAAACCATTGATTTTTCCAATTCAACCATTTCTTTTCATTGATCCAAGATATTAAATCGTGTTCGCTTATCAAAGAATTCAAAATGATTTTCAGGATAGACTGTTCAAGATGATTTATCAGTTAGAAGGCAAAAAAAATAAATTTAATAACTATAATAACTAGGTCCGATAAGTCGTTGAATTACCAAATAATCTGGAATGCTGAGAGCCCCATTTAATTGATTAAAAATAAGTCATTAATGTCGAAATGATACAAACCTATTTTTTTTTTTTAAATTATATTTCGATATTAAGACTATAACATAAAAATTGATAGCCATTAGAAAAGTCTGTAACAGCATAAACTAAGAGAGTCGAGAAATCAGAAAAAAAATATATTAATGGTCAAAATCATAAATAAAATTGTTCTTACAAGCTTTAGCTGCATGGATGTTGAAATACTACAAATAATGAACAAGTTGAGATTAATGAAATAAACTCCTCCCTACCATGATAGGTCAAAATGTTCTTCCCTAATTTGTTGGATTACCAAACTGATTGTACTTTAAATTATCATTCAATATCACATAAAATAAATATAACACTATTATAAAAACTAACGTAGTAAATGTAGGAGCTCAGAAAGAACTCATAGGTTTAATACGTTTTTTGAAACTTAAACAGTCTATTTATTTTTTATTTTGGATATTATTAAATGAAAGCTTAAAATGGATGTGATTTTTATCAAATTTTAAATCATTAAACGACTCAGATGTAAAGCTTTAAGAAAATTATTGATTTTAAAAATGTTGCAATGAGTAATTGATCTTACAAAAAGGTGTTTAAATCAACTTCAAGCACCATTAGGCCATGTGATCTGATAAAATTGTGAAAAATGTTGCCAAATTTTGTAATAATCTTAAAATAGTTTTAATTGCCACTAGGTTTAATCCATCTGTTTATATTATTACTACTTAATTTTTTTTTTTTATTTCAAGGCATGTAAGATCTTTTAGATAAGTTTCTTCAAAAATTTTATTTTATACAACTTTTTTTTGTTCAAACAATGCTTCAGTTAAATAACTTATTTAATAGAAAATTTAAGGAACAGGTTATTAAAAATTACAAAAAAACATAAATTTTAATTTTTCAAAGATCTATAACCATTAGGGAAGTATAAATTCAATTTAAAAATTGTATTTCAAAACAGGAATTAAGATTTCTAGCATTTTTAATATCTTTCATCTCTAATTTTTAATACAAAAAAAAAAAAATAGAAAAGAATAAAAACACTACCTTTCCCGACATGAAAAATCATATCGTGATTTCAAACTGTCTCTTTGAGATTCTTCTTTGAATGTAAACTCGCCAAATTTCTCCCGCAAATCATTACACTCTTTCAATGCCTTGTCCCTGTCGTGCAGTGCTGAAGCTATCTCTCTTTTCAATGTTTCAACTTGATAAGATAATGTTTTTTTCTGAAATAAATAAACTTTTTATAAAAAATGACAATAAAAATATGAAAAATATAATTAAGTATTTGATAAAAAAAAAACTCACAACTGCGTATGTTTGCTGCATGTTTTACATTTGAACACTGAATACTAAATCTGATGTTAATGTTTACTTACATTATCAGGCTAATTCATTGCATAATATTCTTTAATGTTTAGTTTACAAAAAAAAAACAAAGAAAATTTTTAGTATATGCACTAATTAGTTCAAAAGATGTGTTTCATTTTGTTTCAAGTTTAAAGTATATAATAAATGATGAGAAATGAAGAATAAATACAATAATTAGCCTTAAAAAAAACAAACTAGTGGTTTAATTAAGGGGAGAGAAATGGTAAAAAAAAAATATGAAATCAAATTTTATATTTTTTTATAAAAGAACTTTTTCCAGAAGGAATGATATACAGCATTTGTAATTTATATGATTATTTCATTATTAAAAAAGAAATTACAATATAAGTACTTTAGCAGTGAATTTTTCAAATAATTTACAAGTGCAATAGTTTGGGTATGCATGTAAACATTATTATTATCTAATTTATTTGATTTTAATGGTTTGTTTGTTTTTTTGTGGTGACAATATAATATATCTGAATTTATTCCCTTCTAAAAATTTGTTTTTAACTTAACCGTGTTTTAAAACAGAACCAAAATAATATAATCATATTCGTTTTTATTTTGAATACAATTAGTGATGCGTTTTGTTGAATAAAATATATTTATTAAGCCTAGATTTACAAATAAAATTGTAAAAAAAAATTATTATGAAGCAACTTTAGAAAGAGTCTAGCTCTCATACTATTAAAAAAAAACTACCATTCCTAAAAATAAATCTATTTCATCAAAGAAATAAAGACGATCTATGTTAAGTATACAAAAATAATTATAATAACATTATAATAAATTTAAAACCATCATTATCCAAAATATTATTATTCATGATGCAAAATATTAAATTACAAGTTGTAATGGGATTTTTTGTTTTTTTAGTCTTGTAGAAAGTTAATACTTTTGGAAAATATACATTTTCTCAGAATAATTTTTTTTACAACAGATCTTTTATATGTAGATACTTAAAAAATAGGATGTCAAGAATCTATATTACTCAAAAGAAAACACTTGGAAATAGTCGATTGATCAAACGGATTTTGAGAACATTTTTCTTATATTAAAATTCAATAATAAAGGGATTTCGTCTCCCCTTAACCAACTCAAAATTATCAAATTACCTCTGTAGTAGTAGATGTGTACAAGCACTATTACCTCTGCTCATATTAATAACTGCATCAGTGATAACATATCACCATGTAATATATAAAAAACTAATTAGAAAAAGAAGGTTACACTGTGTGTGTGTGTGTGTGTGGTTCAGTGGGGTGAATAATTGTAACATTTTTCTTGTAAGATGTTCAGATATTATAAAACTTTTAATATTAGAAAATGATTCTTTTGTAAGGCCAGAGCTCAAACCCCTGTGATTGTAGTTACTAATTTGAGTACCAATCATATTATCATTGTTAAAATAAATGTATATACTAAGCGAATTTGCCTATTTAAGCCATAACTGTAAATAGGTAATAGATGTCTAATATTTACATTATATGTATATTAGATATTTAATTTCAAAAAAGCAATATTAATTACATCTTCAAGAAGGTCTTTATTTTCTGATTCCACAGCCTTATTTTTCTTAAATGCTTGGGATAAATCTTCAGAAAGCTTTTCCATTTCTTTATGAACAGTGTCTCGCTCCGACATGATAAGGGAGTACTCTTGCATAGCAGCATTTCTTTCCTCGGTAAGTCGCTTCAGATCTTTGCTAGCTTTCATCCTTACAGCCATTGCCTGATTGATTTCTTTAACTGCTTCCTCATGTTGTTGCTGAACCTAAATCATTTTTTAAAAAATATGTCAATAATGTGATTCTAAATAATTTTTTAAAACACATTTTTACTATTCAAATCTATTAGTCTTTTATAATTAAAGGCACAAATGTAATAAAAACATACTCTCTTTACAGAAAACCAATTGGGAATGTCTATGGAAAAAGTCATGAAAATTTAAGATATAGTAGAATTCAAGCGATAAAGAATGTCGGTAAAATTAACAATTAGATGTAATATTTAAACGGACAGGGAGGCCGAGCGGGCGAACATGTCTGTCAAATACGAGTTGAGCAGTAACCTGATGATAAACTGAAGATTACGAGTTCAAATCCCGGTATCAGGGAACATTTTAACTAGCATTCAAAGCCGATCCTTTCCATAGACCCAAGAAAAACACCGTATAACCTAAAAGGAGAGGTAGAGGTGAAAAAAATAAATATTTAAGCAAAATAATTGAACAATCACAAAATATTCTCTCTTTTGATTATAATGCATATACAGCTAACAAATGCAAGCATGTCTCAAGAAAAAATTTAAGAAGTCTGTCTCTAAAATCATTAATGTTTCTGTTGTTACTTTTTTTTTTTCTTTGAGGACCACTTGAACATCATTTCATATAGGTTGTTGTTTTTCTTATTATACCAGAGCAATCACTGTTAGAAAAAAAAAAAGGTCCGCAAAAATAATACCTAAACCTGCTAGTGTCTTATTCAGAAGCTGAGTAAGTAGTAAGGGCCAAATATAGATGGCTTGTGATCTTAAAAAAATCAATTTAAATAAAAAGTAGTAATATTTTAAACAATCAAAAGGTTCATATTCAAGTTAATAAAACATGAACAAAAAGTTAATAAAACATATTTCAAAACAGATATTTCAATTCAGCAATGATAAGGCGAGAGAAAAAACAAAAGATATTTCGTGGGTGGAATTTTCGAAACAGGAAACACTATTTTAAGCTAAAAAGTATAAGATAATGTACTCGATATGAGCTATGCGCTGACAAGTCATGACATCTTCACTCCCATGAATTAGCTTTGCCCCCACTACCTTTCTTTAATTTTAATTAACTATTCAAATATTTAACAGAAAAATTTGGGTCTTCTTTCATTTTAATTGTAATAAGCTAACCTTCACTGGCAAATACAAATTGAAAACTCATTCAAATCCCCAATTGTAAGTATGGTCGATAAGTTGAATGCACTTATAATAATCTGATAGAGAACTTTTTAAAATAAGAAACAGGCTTAACAAAAGATGCCAATTTGCCTATTTGAATTTCCAGAATTTTTTAAGTTTATACACATTCTATATACACTCTCTTTATTTGTTTTTCATACCACATATTTATTTGTAGTTGAATAGGGCATAATATATAATGTATAAATAATTTAATTATTCTTCCTGCTTTTAGAATATTAAAATAGAAAAAAAAACAAAGACCATAACTTTATTTACCCCAGTTTAAAAATTAATGTCAATGGATATCATTTGTTCTCTTTTGCCATTAAGTAAAGTAAAAGAAAAAATGTTGGGTTCCTCTGCAATTTTTTGTAAGTCAATTGTTACAATATTCAACATTTTAAATACTTCGGCAAATACACATACAACAACTTATATAAATATTTACAAAAAAAGAAGCCTTTATTGGCAAATAAATAATTTCTTAATAAGTAGTTTTAAGAATATAACTAAGAAAAAACAATACTGAAAAATAAAACAAAATAATTGTTAATCCTTGAATTTGATATGTCATATATACACCACCCTATATATCACTTAGAGGTAAACTTTATAATCAATAATGATTTTGAATTACAACAGTTAATTCATATTCGCATTCCATATGAAAGTTGAAAATCCCTGACTTTTCCATGTATTCCATGTTCAACAAGAGCTCTGGTATCAGAGAACAATATACTCTACAATATCTCTCACAAAATCTTAGAGAATGTCCTCCAAAAGTCAAACAAACTTTTTTTTTTTTTTAAACTGTATTAATACATACTACTTCAATGTTTTCAAATTCGCTATATGTATATATTTATACAGTAGGAAAAGTTGTATATATTTATTGAATTTTATTGTAAGAGACCTACCGGCAGCAATTATAGTCCATCTTACTAAGATCGCTTTGTAATTCACTAATTATTATACTTTATTTTCAATACAATACGAATATCAGGGTAATTACACAACGTATATAAATGTTAGAAAGAAAACCAAGGAAAAACAATACAGACCTTAGCCAAAGCTTCCTGATACTCGTTCCGTTCCCGGAGAGCAATGTCCCATTGTCTTATCGCAGCGGTGCACTGCTGCTTCAAACCATTTCTTTCCCTTATAGCTTGATTTCTTTCAGTAACCATTTCGTCGCACTGTTTTTTGATACGAGCAACTTCTTCCTAAAAAATTAAAATTAAAATTTATTTATTATATTACTTTTTTTTTAAATCAATAAAAAATTAAATATATAATAACATATAATTCACATTTGCCAAATTATACAGGTACAAGTTAAGCATGAAGAAGCAGGAAATGCTATGAAATTATTGTTATCACAATATTATCTTAAACTGCAAAAAGGTGAGGGAAAAAAAAACACTTATCGTTTAATCCTGTTATTGATTAATGTCATCTGTAACAACGCAAATAAAAAATGAAGAAAACAATCAAATCAAATAACTTTTTTTTTGTTACTTCTCAACTACATATTCAACTATCTAATAAATATTCTATGTGTATTTGTGGGCTATTAAGAGTATAAAATTCTAATGGAAGACAACACAAATATAATAAACAATCAACAAATTACTATAAAAATAAAAATATTGACAAACATGATAATAAAAACTATATAACGCACTTATGTTCATTCACTGAATGTATTTGTTTAAAACTCTATAACCATTGTTATTTATTTAAATTATGTAGCATATTTATAAAACATATAAACAGCAAATACTCAATTATAAATATATCATGAAATAATTTATGGTTCGATTTACAGCACCAAGTATTCCTATTTAAATCAATACAGAAATCACGTTACAAACTGAATGTTAACTTGTTAAAGAATAAAACTAAATTTTTATCAAGGTAATATAAATCAATATTATAAGCAGGTGATTGTTTAAAATATATGTCAAATTACTCAAGTTTACAAATAATATTATTATTCAGGAATGAATGAAAATAAAGACAGCCCGTAACTAAAATTAAACGTTGTTCCAGTCAGCACTAAATACAAAGTGATTGTATTTCCATTAATCTCATCTCAACGATTAATATGTATATATATGCCAATAAATATGAATGTAAATATATAATGAATATATGTGTAAACAGAAATAGAAATATGCATTTACATTTAGAAAGAAAAGGGAGAGGAGAGTGAGAAATGGGGTGTTTGAATTTAATAATTAAATTTAAAAATCACCACACCTTTATCAATATATATATATTTTTAATAAACACACAACCTATACTCTAAAAATGTGTCAATCTGTGGTAAGATTGAGTAAGTCAGTAAGTCAACAAAACTGCCTTCAAGAGCCTATGGTGATAAAAGATATCTACATAACCTTTTAAAATTAAGTTTAAAGTAAAATAACAGCAAAATTTACTTTTTAAAATGAGATTTACATAAGTTACATTTGTGTTCTTGAAGTAAAGACCCATAGAAGACAAAACATACTAACCTTTACTATAGATGTATTTTGTAAGCTACCCAAACTAAAGATAAACACACTCAGGTTTATATCAATTTAAATCAACTCATTCAAATAATTTTATTTTGAAAAAAATGAACTCTGATAACTGATTTAGTTTTTCCCAAAACTATAACTATAAATAACTAATTTCTAAATTAAAATGTTATTCAAAAAGTATACAAAACAGATAAGGAAAACTGAATAAGGAAATCTAATTTATTATTGTTACAGAAGTTCAACATTTCCGAGAATTCTGATAAAAACAGAAACAAAAAAACAATGCCATGATTGAATTTGTACAAAAATGGAGATAAATACCTGAGACAGCTCCAATTTATCCACAGCTGAAGAATGAGAAGCAATAAGATCATCATAACGCTTTCTTAAACTTTCATATTCTTCTTTTATTGTTTCATATTTTGATAATGTTGTAAGATATAACTGATTCATAGCGTCACTATTTCCATTTTCTCCTTCCTAAAATTTGACAAACAAAAAGGTGAAGCAACAGCAACACAAAAAGTATCACATATAATCATTTATCATCTAAAAAGAGAAAACCATATAGATACTTCTAGATATGAAAATAATAATAATAATCTAACTTTATGATTTATGTTAATTTTCTTTATAAAATTTACAAACAATCACATGACAATGAAAAAGTGTCAAGGAATCAAAACAGAACAATCTCATTACCAGTTAATTAATCAGAGATCTGATCAAATGCATTCTAAATAATGTATCAAAACACAGCCATTTGATATATCAATGCAATTAAACCAATTATATGTAATGTCAAAGTATTATTGATTTTCACAGAGGTCATACCACTTGACATGAGGTTAGTAGTTTAAAATGACATAATCTTCAAAACAAGCTAAATGCTTAGTTAATAACAATACAAGAAAAATGGTTTAACTCATAAAATCAAATAAAAATATAAAAAGGAAGAAAATCTAATTTTGATAAGAAAAGTGGGTGCCAGGAAACCTTTCAATAAATAAAGTAAAGTAAACAATATTTGAATCTAAAACAACTACATAGCTAAAGTACTAAATAACAATAATAATTATATGGAAATATAAGAATGTTTTAGTACATTATTCAAGTCTTTTATGGTAAGAGGTTCAGTTTCATCTCAATATTACGTTATTTTCTAAATAAATTGTAAGCTTACCTGTTGACTAGATCTTAAATCCGAAACTAATTCTCCATATTTAGTGCGAAGTGATGATGATTCTTGTGCAGCGGATTCTAGTTGGGCCATTGCAGCGTGATGTTGGCCCCTATAATACTCAAGTTCTTTCATTGTATGTTCACATCTTCGGACAGTCTCACTATGTTGCCTGAGAGTAAATAAATAAATAATTATTTAGCAATTATATTAACAAATTTAGATAAAAAATACTAAAAATTTATACCTTCTTAACACTTGTAATTCATGCATGGCCTTATCACATTGCGTTTTAAGACCATCATAATCTCTTGTTGGAATGTTATCCCGTACTCTATCAGCAGTAGATACAGAGTAACTCCGCGTCAGAGTGTCTATAACAAATTACAGTAAAAGTTAGTTGTCCATTTGGATTAAAAAGGGATAAAATTATAAAAATAAAGAAATATAATACCTGAGGTGGTGACACCATCAATGGAAGAATTGGTTGAAGACATTTGGAATGAAGATGATTTATATTCCCTCTGTCATAACATTATGTCTCCCTACAAGAATGACACCCAAAAATTACAAACTTATTTAACTAAAAATTTTAATGGTTACTATTATAAGCAAAGTACAACAAATTTATGTAAGAACAGCTTTCCCTTACAATAGCTAGTTGCAATAATTCACCATCTAGCATGAATAATATGGAGCCCAACTGGAGCATAACAGTCAACCAGGTATGAAAACCATTTTAAGTTAAAATTATTAATCCTTATAAGTTGTTAATTATTTAAACAGTTCAGTATTGTAAAAATCAGCAAAAAAAAAAACTGTTATCAGGAAGTAAATATCACTAATAATTTATTACAGAACTGTTAAGTAAATTGATATGATATTTATACTTAAAAGGGAAAGTCATAGAAGACAACAAAAGTAATAAAAAAATAAATAAAAGTAAATTACCTGATTTTTCTTGTTTAATAATAGGATGTAATTCATTTTTTTAACTCTCACTCACTTAACCCTACATATTACTACCTTCACTTTCCATCTAAACAAAATTAATAAAATTATTTTAAAGGGGAAAGCAAATAATTACAAAACAAAAACAAAATTACAATTATGCCTTGCACTTATTTTTCGATTTTGACGTAATTCAATGTTTACCTATCATCGTATAATTATTCACCTAACAAATTTAGGGAATACAAAAAAAGAATTGAACTTAAAATAACTGAGGTATTTTATAAATATAAACGGGATAAAATTAAATACTTAAAACTATCAATATTTAATGAAGTAAACAGAAATTAACCCATTAGGACAACTCTCCAATCCAATCAGGACCACAGAGTATATAACTAGCACCCGTGTGAAATTTCAGTATAAAAACTTGGTTCAGCTTTTGCAATTAGTTCTCTAAACCAGTGACAGATAGCGGTTGATCTATAGTTACAGTCACTCTCAATAGGTTGCGCTAGCTATTAAAAATTGCAAAATCAGATGAATGGGGGTTAATTCTCTAAATAGAATTTCAAAAGTTTATTAGTTAAATATAAATATACTTGCTTTGGCAATACAAAATTACCTTATATGTTCTCAAAATTGCTTGGACACTGATTCGTACAAATTGAATATAAAAAACATCACTCCAGTCTTTGGTGAAAGTGGACGAAATTTAAAATATAGCAAAGAAAAATAATACGTCTCCCAACAGTCTTCGTTATCCAGGTAATTTATTAATTAAAAAAATTATTAAACCTAAAAAATAGAACTTGTTTAACTTATTTACCAAAATATGGGACTCACAACGAAATAAACCACAAATAAAGAGACAAACGGAAACAATTATATTCTAAGGTGCGTTTAGACATTTCCCTAACTGGCACTACAAGTATTTAAATGTTTTCCATCTGCTGCCAGTAACAAGAGAAATATAAAAAAGGTGGGCTTAGCGTTAATTTCTCTATTAGTTAAGTTAGACAATAGTGTTTTATAGTTTGTAAAATGTCTATACGTACCTTAACATTTAAAAAAACCAAACAAATTAGCTCAAATAATTTGTTTCCTGTAAACACACATAATTAATAATTAAACCTATTAGATTCATTCGATTTATTCATAAATAAAATGTGAAGCATCCTGATCCACTTCTTAAAATGATTTTACAAAAGAAATTGTTTGTTATACTATTTTTCATTCTTTCTTAAATATCGCATGCCTTTGGGAATAATTAAATGCAATGAGCTCATAGCATTTTTTTTTAATTTATTAAGGATATTTACAACTCTATTAAATACATCCTGTATATACAACATATGTATATCCAATACCTGTAAACAGTAATAATACAATCACATGAAAACATTTATTGAGAAACAGTCCATTGCACGGGCGGATCTACGGGGGGGCTTTCGGGCTGAAGCCCCCCCCAAAATGGAAAAATACAACCATGTTTTATGGAAAAAAAATTAAAAAATACCTCTTAAAGTATTATTGTTCGTGTAATTACATTTAAAAGGACTTAAGGAATCCCTTAAACACCATTTCATATAGGAAGTTAGTTTCTTTCTGTTTTTCCAAAGTAATTATCGTTATTTTTGTGAAAAAAGAAGGTTTCGGGCTGAAGCCCCCCCCAAAATTAAATCCTGGATCCGCTAGTGGTCCATTGGTAACACTCTACAATTGCAATTTAGAAAGATATTTTGAACAGTCTTTCTTTTTTTGATGCAGAATGGGTCGAGATATGTTAACTGCTCAAAATATTATACGTAAATGAGAGATGTAATTGTGAATATCTGACAAGAGACACAGGCGGATCTACAGAGGAGAGAAGGCTTTCGGGCTGAAGCCCCCTCCCTCAAATTAAGTCCTGGATCCGCTAGTGACCAGGGATACCCAGAATGGAGTTTCAAGGTGCAAGTTACGCAATCAAACTTTTTAAGGGGTCATCTTTTGACGGAGTTTGAATTTTTGAGGGGGGCAAATTTCGACGGGATTATGAATTTTCGGACAAAACGACAAGGAGAAAACATGGAACAGACTGCAGCAGGTGTAATTGTAGATGATCTAGATAGCTTGCTTTGTTTTTAAGAACAGGTAAATAAGAAAATAATAAATAATAAATGGGAGATGTAGTCGGAACGTATGTGCGCATTGAATTAGTCTGCGGAGGATAGCCTTTCGTTCCGTTACTTATATCACTGAAAATGATATTCTACATCGATCCATCTTGGTTAGCATGAATTCTTGAATCTGTTCATTTCATTTCAGAAAAATAGCTTACTAATATTTTACGAATTCGTTTGCACCGTAATTAATCTGCCTGAACTGAATGATACATACTTTAAAAAGTTAACTACGAAATAATCATAATTGTATTGAATAAGATCAATATAAAAAATATATTTCATTATTATTCTATTTTATTTATTTTTTTTTATATTTGGTTGGGTTCACTTGGAAAGAACGAATGGTAGGGATATTGTTGACCGTAAAACAAATGTAAATAATTATAGTTTCAGAAGAAGTTAGTCGGGGATGCTGTCAAAAAATACTACATTATGTAATAGTATATTTATTACATTGTCCAACGTTTCGACCTATGTTGTAGTTCTTCTTCATGGCATTCCGTCAGCAGAAGGCAGTACGGTGACTGCCAGTCTGATCGTAAAGAATTATAAATTAAAGAATATTACAACTGATGTAGGTGAAACGGAACATTCTCTCAATAATTGAAGAAAAAAGATTAAGTTGGTTTGAACATGATCAGCGTATGTTTCTAAATAGATCACTAAAAATAAGTATGTAACTGCAACTAGAAGATAGAAGGAAAAAAGAAAGATTAAATGGAAAATGTAAAGACGAGGTGCAGGAAAACCTGGCGGAACATGGCATCAGGAAAGCGCATATAGAAGAATGGAAAAATTTCTTAAATATATTTAGGTGAAGGAAAATCAAAGCAGTGAAAAAATCCTTAATGAAAAAAAAAATATCAAATTGTAGTGTTTATTTCATCATTGGCCGCACCAACATCCATGTCCAACTTCTACAAGTAACAACTAACTTCAGTTTCACTGAGCTCAGTCGAATCTCTATGTGTTTTTGTTTTGAAGTTTTGCCGCTGAAATTTAACATCAACTTTATATAATATTTCAGCATTTAACTTCAACCAAAGGGACATTTTTGGTGAAATGCAAGTGATTTGTTACTGATAAGAAGCTCTGATAGCGAATAGTAGTTTTCAGTATGGTGTTGAAGAACTTATTTTGTGCTTATTATTATTAAAATTGAATTTTTTTAAATTGTCTTTTTAAATAAAACAATCATGGAAACCCCTCCAAAGAAAAAATTAAAAATTGACTCCAAATCTAGCAAAGCTGGATCAACCAGACACCATTCTAGTAAAACCTCTGGAAAGGTTAATGTTTATTTTTATTTACTCATTTTCTAATTCAATATGGATTATATTTTAACTTTTTTTTAAATATTTACAGGATCGTTTACATCTATCTTTAGATTTAGAATCATGTGACTTTACAAAGATTGTTGCTACCAGTGGTTTCGTTGACAAATCATTACTTATTAAAGCTTTGTTTGAGAATACTTGCAAGGTACTAATTACTGCTCCCAGGCGTTTTGGAAAATCAACAAATTTAGATATGGTTAAAAGGTTTCTAGAAATTGAGGTGGATAGTTCTGGTAAGCCTATTGATGCATCTCTAACAAACAACTACAAGCTGTTTTCGGAAAACAAATTAAAAATTTTTGAACATGACCAATTTTGTAAGGTACATTTAGGTAGGCATCCTGTAATGATTATAGATTATAAACCTCTTGCTACAGCAGTTGATTTTGAGAGCATGTTATCGGAATTCAAAACCATTATGAGGAATACATTTGAACATCATCGCTATCTCTTAGAAGTTAATAATTTATGGTCTGGGAATCTTAAATTAGATAAATTTAAAAGCTATATCGAACCAGATAAGATAATAAATTTAAGTACTTTTGATTTAAAAATAGGTTTTAATTTTTTAGCTGAAGTATTACACAAATATTTTGGAAAACCAGTATTTCTTTTGGTTGATGAATATGATGCCTATTTCGAAAGTTTTATTTTTAATGACAATGCAGACTATAGCCGCATAATAAATTTTATTCAGTCTACAACTGCTGATTTATTGAAATCAAGTAATCATATTGATCATGCTCTATTAACTGGTGTTTTTCGCATTTCAAGTGATGGATTGGCCTTAACATTTTCGCAATGTTTAAATGGTATTGTTCATTACAAATTTTTAAGTAAGCACCCATTTCATATATATTATGGATTAACATCGAAGGAATGTGACAAACTATTAAGTCGGTTTGTAAAAGATGATGAAGCTAAAAATAAATTTAAGCGAACCATTGACAAATATTTTAACGGATATCATATCAATAAAGTTAAAGTTTATAGTATTTGGTCAGTACTAAAGTTTTTTGAAAATAATAAAAAGATTCGAAGTTGTAGTTCTAGAGATGAATCCATGTTCAGAATTAAACAAATTTTCAAAGACAAAAGAATTTCAGAAAACATTTTGCAGTTGCTTTGTGGGGCATTTGTTGATATAGATATTTCTAAACAGTTCACCAGAAGCAACATAAAAGATTTATGTAATCTTTTACAATTAAGGGAACTAGAAACAGACAAATCGGATCTATTATTTCTTTTACTTTACCATTTCGGTCTCTTATCAATTGTTGATGTGAAGGATGAACATTTAGTTTCTATGAAAATTCCTAATCAAGAAGTTTTTTTCCAATTTGCTAAATCTCTTAAGGAATCATATGAAAATAAATATCAATTTGATTCTGTCTATGTTAAACATTTTCAATCTGCTGCAAATTCATTTAGTATAACTGATATGAATGATGACAATTTTTTAAAACTTTATAAATCCATAAATGATTTATTTTCAAATACAGCGTATCATTCTCAAAAAAACAATGATTTAATGTATATTTTGTTTGTATTTTTGTGTTGTAAGTTTAGTTTTATTAAATTTAAAGGGTTAAAGTCCTCTTCGAATGGTCATCAATATTTCGTAACAGTTAATGATCATGATGTAGCTTTAATAATTGGATCTGTGGGGGAAAAATCGGAAACTCATCTGGTAGGAAAAGTTACAAATATTCATAATGGACTCATCCAAACTAATTATTTTGATCATATTGAGAAAGAAATACATAAAAAGTTAAGGGGAAAAGTTTATATAATTTGTCATATCTTAGATGATAAATTTTCTATGGCATATTCGTTTATTCTCAAAGATGAAGAAATAACTAAGCCTAAAATTATTTGATTTAAGTGATTTTGATTTTTTTTGTAAATGTTATATTTATTGTACAGATTAGAATTGTATATACTAAATGTAAATAGTGATATTCATATATCTTATGTTGTATGTTTACAGGAGCATAATCTTTTCTCAATTTCTCATTTTGAGAATTTTATCTCTTTTAGTGAAAATATCAGGAATTAAAATAGAATTGTACATTTTTTAAGTTACAAATATACATTATTTTACATTACACGATCATTGTAGTACTTTTTTTATTTTAAAACAACAAACTAATAAGTGATTTTTTTTTTTTTTTAGTCAGGTACTTTTCTAGTATAGGTGCCATATTATGTGATTATTTATTAACTTCGAAGTTATACCAATTATAAAATATGGATGGATTTGAAACTTCTCATGAAAAAAAATAAATAATAATAATACATATATATTTAAAATAATTATTTTATTATTTTTTACTTTCACTTACGTATATATGTAATATATAGTAAGGGTAAGTATTGCGATCGTGGAAATTTTCGAATCTCAGTTTTCAATGGAAATACATGTTTTGAGGTCCCCTGAGTTCAAATAACCAAGTGTCGCAAAATGGTCTGTGTGTGTGTGTTAGCACAGTTTAGCTCATAAACGAAAAGTAGCACGAAACTGATATTAAGTATTTAAGGTTTTTATATGAGCCGAATGTGACAGCAACTTTTTCGTTAAAATCGGCTAACCGGAAATGCCACTTTATATGAACGCTGAAACACATTTTTACAATTTTCTCAAAAACGACTCTAACAATTTTGATAAAACTCGGTGTATCATTGTATAATTAAGTGGTCTTTAATATCATTTAGGTCTTATCCCCGTTGATGTCACTTTACAGGGCTTAAATGCCCAATGTCTTCCTCTAAAGTACCTTTAATATGCTTTATTTAAAAAAATTAACCATTTCCCGTTATTCAGAATTACTACAAATGCTACATATAACTTTTGAAAGAATTTGATAAGTTAATAAAGGAGAAAAAAAATAAAAATGCAGAAAAACCTGCGTTACTACAGACTGTACCGTTTAGGCGCGTACAGAATGTACCGTTTTCAATAAAACTTTTCTGAAGTCATTTTCTCGATACCCTTTAAATTTATCTATATAACATACTTCAACGAAAAGAAGCTGGAAAAAAAGTTACGAGGGATGTTAAAATTAAATTCCGAATAACTCAAAAAGTTTACGCTTTTTTGTCGATATTGTATATGGCTTTTTAAAAGTTTACGGAATTTCCTAAAAAAATCGTTAAAATCGGACAATTAGTAGCAAAGATATGGTCTTTATATGTTTTTTTTATGTTCTACTCCAAATGTTATATCCTTTGTTTGGTAAGAGCCTAATATTATAAATGGACTGTGGTCATACATTTATTAAACAATATTAAACACATTTAAAAAAAATCAATTTAAATAAAAAGCAGTAATATTTTAAACAATAAAAAGCTGAAAAATTGTCTCAGGGGTGTAGTGGAACTGGGAGTGTGGTACGAACCCACATAGTGTGACTTATACAGCTGCCAGATGGTCAGTGGTTGAAAAACGTCTCAACTTAAAGATTTTGAAAAAAACTCAAAAAACCTTGCACATAATATAATTTGAACAAATCTTAAATCAAACAGTTGAATTTATGGCCTAAACAGGGAATTTTTTAGGAGTCGCACAAAATTTTACTGTTTAGCAGGAGTGAATTAAGTGGATTCACATCCCATGTGGGTCTTTATTCCCTGTATAAAGACTAAATTTTAAGCTAGGAAAGAAAATTATGAATCATAATAGGGTAGAAATTATAGAAAATAAAAATTCAATTTAAAGAAGTATATATTTTCCAATCAGTATTTTGTTTTGTGTCCGACGTAGGAATGCACGGCGGTTTCATAGAGGGCTATTGTGTGTTGTCCTAAAGCTTTATTAAAACAGGCCAGATGTTTTTGCAATCTTGTTAATACTAGTGGGATCTATTAGTTCACAACGCTTAGGGTCAGTGATACGATCACTTTCAAAGTGAAAGTATTGCAGTCTAGCCAAATGATGACATCTGCAGATAATGTGATAGGCTGTTTCATCCTTCAAGCTGCAGGTGGGAGTCTCACTTAAGGCTAAGTTAAAGAGGTGCTTATTGAGCAGACAGTGAACAGTGTACTGTTCTGTCACATATCTAATGGTGCGTCTGTCCATTAGAAGAAGCGATTCACTTATCTTGCCTTAATATGCCTTTTGGCGAAGGCCAATCCTACAGATGGGCTCTGGTGCAACCGTCACTTGTGCAGAGCCCTTCCTAGCAAGGCAATCGGCTTTTTCATTACCTGGAATGCCTGAGTGCCCAGGCACCCATTCAACCGTCACCTTGTTGGTACTACAGAGAAAGTTCAGTTTGCCTTTATACCAACTTGGAGCGGGTTGCATAACTATTCATGTCCCCAATTGCCACTTGACTATCTGTATTTATTGTTATCAATCTATTCATAATGCCCTTCCTTATAAGTGATTGAGCATTGAAATCAATAGCTAAAATCTCGGCCTGAAGGACGGAGGTATGTATGTCTACCTAGAGATATGAATGTTCTCTATTTAGGTTTATCCTTTCTTCAGACGCCACCCCCTGATCCTTGCTCCATCATGGATCCGTCAATCTATTCACCTTATTTTGATGAAGTTTCAAAATGGTTAGCAGCATATTTAACAAAATATTCATAGATGTGTACAGTGAACTCTGATTATTAGTTCAGAGAGAAATAAATCCGCCTGTATAGAGGTTAAAATTCTGGAAAGAAAGTCATATTAGGGTAGAAATCATAGAAAATAAAAATTCAATTTAACAAGTATATATTTTTCCAATCAGTAATATTGAATTTATATTTTTGAGGGTCCTCAGTAGATTCTTTTTCATATTTCTATTTCTTTCTTTTAAAAGCTTAGAATTTCATCCATCATCACCAGATGGAGATTTTTTTACTTTTAAAAATAAATTATTCATTTAATTTTCTTAAACAATCATGAGCCCACCAATGGATTTATTTAGAATATATAGGTGTTCTAATTTGTAAAAGATATGGTGGCCAAGCTTGTTAAAGTATTGCTCTTTATCATTCTGGAGTCTAGTGGCAGTGGTTACAACCCAGCCTGGGTATATTGATATTTATATTGCGATGGGCCTATGGAAGGAATCTTGACCATCCCACTCTGGTTAGCATAGCATAGATTAGTTATTTCTCAAGAGTAACCCCTCACTCGCCCATGCCAGAAATGGCGAGGTAGGTATAAACAAAAATAGAAAAAAAGCATTGACCTGTTACTTATTTTTTTTATCTTTCCGTAAGTGTCTTATTTTGCTTTGTTTCTTTTAATGGTCTATTGAAATTTTTAAATGTTTTTATTTTTATTTACAACTCACCATTTCTTTTATAGTGATAAATCTGTACCCTGGAGATAATAATACCATGTCCTTTTTTGTATTTGTTCAGTGGAGCCAGTGTTCCATAACTTTGAGCTATTAAAATTTGTTTCTTTGTTACTAAATCTGTATCCCGGAGATATAGAACGTAATTTCACAATATCATAATTCTAAAGAGCAGCCAATTTTCCATAAATTTGAACTATAAAAAATTGTTTCTTTGTTACTAAAGTATTTAATGAAAAAATGAACATAGTGTCCTTTACCTCCAGGGCAGAGAAATGTAAATGTCAAGAGAAAATGTTACACTTTCATAATTGAACTCATTTTCCATCTATATAACATAAAGAAGAGAAGGATGGTTGGGGTGATCAGTCAGAAATAAAAGGCAAAAATAAATAATAATATTTATTTTAACATTTGCCGACGTTTCGACCTGAAGTTAGGCCATCATCAGGGCTAAGAAAAGAATCAGATAACAAGGTATGAGAAACTCAAAAAATTTAGGTAAACAAATTAAAGTAAAATGAAGTGGGTAGAATAATGACAATAACAAGAAATAAATAATAATAACCGTTACAATGTGTGGAATAATAAATTTTTTTCCTCCTTCCTTTCATTCCTTTTTTCTGTTTTAACTCTTTATTCTATTATACGTTGTCAGTACATTTTGATAGACTTTACAATATCTCCATTTTCTATCTAACTATTCTATTTACAATATCTTAAATTTACTATTTATATTTATTTCTTATTTATTTATAACTTCATATTCTTTTTTTCTGTTTTACGTTTTATTCTAAGATTACCATTTTATTACTTATGTCACCTTATTTTGATTATGTTTACTTTATTATTCCACACTTTGTAACGGTTATTATTATTTATTTCTTATTTCTTGTTATTGTCATTATTCTATCCACTTCATTTTACTTTATTTTTTTTACCTACATTGTTTATGTTTCTCATACATTGTTATCTGGTTCTTTTCTTAGCCCTGATGAAGGCCTGAACTTTAGGTCGAAACGTCGTCAAATGTTAAAATAAATATTATTATTTATTTTTGCCTTTTATTTCTGATTGATCACCCCAGCCATCCTTCTCTTCATTATTCACGACAGTCAACCATCAACCCAAAATTATATAACATAAAAATTATTATGTTAAAGATCGATAAAAACAAAGTTGTAATTTATGATGTTACGACTTGCATTGAGACAGGACTGACTGTATGGAGGTTAACATTTTAGCATGTCCATTTACTTCCATCAATTCAGCATAACTGTGTCTTCATGCAGTTTTTGAATGCAGATTTTATGAATGTCTGATGTTTAGCAGATCTTTATAGATCAAAAACGAAAAACCTAAAATGCTTTAATTACATTTTTAAATTATTTATATGCCTGTGATATTATGGCAATTTTTTTTTTAAATTTTAAAAATCGAATTGCCAGAAATGTCATATTTCATCATCAATTTTTACAATTTTCTTGAAAATAGCAATAATGGTAATTATTAAACTCCTAAAATTTATGTAAAATTGAATGATCTATAAAACCTATGTGGTCTTATCCTCATTGAATTACCAGAAGAGGATTAGATGCTGAATTTTTAAAAGTCCTTTGTTGTCAGTGATTATGCAAAATGGATAAATATGAAAGGATTAGATAATTAATTAAATGTGTAAATGGGAAATATATTTTTGTAGGTTGAAAACGAATTTCCTGAATTAAGAATAGTTATTTAAATGTATATTATACTGTTGAAAATCTAAAAAAATTAGGCAACTTTATATCCAACATATAAAATCATAGAAAGCAATGAATAGTAAGCAATTAAAAACTAATGGCTTTTAATTATTATGGTTAATAATGTCTACTTTTATTATTATTGAATGGGAAATAATTTTTCAATGGAAGCTAAATACAATATTCATGCGAAATGAATGAAAAATTTTAAAACCACAATGTGGTCATATTTTTTATTATGTTATAATAAAGTATTACTTTCCTAACTCCCTGTGAATTCATGGTGGAGAATACCTCTATCAAATGTAAGTCCTCATTGGCTGACAAGTAATATTTTATGGAATAATTGATACAATGCCAGTCAAAGCAATGGAAAGGGAAATATTGCTCTGGATATTATGACTATTGACAAGCATTGTATTAAATGCAAAAACTTGTTTATATATCATGACGAAAAATGTTATTTAATTTGAACTACCATAGACGAGTTACTTAGAGGTGAAAAGTTCGTCAGAAGAAAACGGAAGTGAAGTGTTCACATAACTTAAAATTGATCCACTAGGCTGAAAACATTACTTCTTTATATATCGCTACTGTTAATGCCAAACGTTGTATGTAACTTTTTTACAGGTTTATTCTCTTTGCTTCCAAAATTGATTTTTAAAATGCCCTTGATTTATATGTTTGAATAATACTGATTACTTAAACAAAAGATTTGACAAAAAAAAGCTTAGGATCCATTCCAAATGGTTCCATGAGGGTAAACCCATTCAATATTTTCTTAAGAAAGTATATGATACAAAATATTTTGTTTTATATTAAAAAATAAATTAAAATATTCTTAAACAGTTAAAATTGCTGTTTTGTTTTTTTTTGTTTTTTAAACTTCTTTTCTTAGGCTGTTAGATACCTTTAATTTTATAACAAATATTCATTTCATGTGTTCATTTACAAACTTGATCCTTAATATTCTCCACAAATATAATTATACTATTCATATATCTTCATCACTCACTCCTAGTTTTCTTTTGTTAACATAATGTCCTCTCTCTTCAAGTTTAACTTATCCTAATTATTTGTTGGTTTGTATTACATATATTTTTTATATCATTTAAGCATGTATAGTTTAGTTAAGTTCTGGTTTATGTGTATATATATATATATTTTTTTTAATGCAGTAAATCTAGCCAAAGTTTTATTTTTATTGTTTAATAATTTGAACAAATTTTCAAACAAAATAATGTTACCTTAATAAAATTAATTACATTTTTATTTAATTACCAACTTCAGTTTTATTATTTATTTTTTTTATAAGTAAAGAAATTTTATAGAATATTTAGTTTATTGAATGTGATGAAAATATATCTGATCACACTCACTCTACTTTCAAAATAGAAACAAATTAATTAAAAGGTGTACATTCAATTTTTATAAGTGAAACGCAAATGTCATAATTTTTAGGCCCTTAGACTTATTATATAATATTATCTTATGTAATATTTTTATTTCTTTTGTCAAACAACATATTTAATTTTTTTATTCAGAATTATGTAAAACTAAATTCTTTGAAAAAATAATCTATATAATAAAGTGAAATAATTTTCATTTAATAGTGACTCATTAAAAAGTGAATGGTAATCAATGAAAGTTACAGTTTTGTCTGTCTTCAATCAGCGTGAAATAATAATGTATTTTATCTAGGTGTATGCAAAAATGTATTATGAAATTCCTCAATCACCAGTTATTAACTCAATGGAACATGTTTGGGATTGTTCAGGAGATTTTATGAGAAAAACAGGACCGTGGCTAGGGAAAGATCTGAGATGAACCGACCACATATTCCTCTTAGCATGGGTTATACTTAAAGAATAATTAACAGTGATCACAAGAATAATGTGACAGGATCCCAAAAAATCATTCTAGAGGGCAATATGCCATTTGTTCTTAGAATTCTCACGGAACATGTTTTCCTACTGACACATCTTCACTGCTTCAGTATAACAGATTGCCCGATCAGATCTGTGATTATTAGATGTTACAACTGAAGAATATCTTGAGCTATTTTCTGCATAACGGGACGTACGATATACTTTTACTATTTATGTAATAATTACAATCTCTTTGCTAAGAGGACAAAATGATATTGGGCTGCAAGGTTACGCATGTACAGACAAAAAAAAGTTAGTTAATCTGAATATTAGTTGTGCTCAGCACTCTTCTTTCATTGTTTAAGTCTATTGATTGTAAAATTGGTTAATCTCTGTAATATATTAATAGAGGGAGACAAAATTGATAACTCTTATCCCCATATCATATCATTATCGGGGCATTGACATCTTTTCTGCTCAAGAAATATAATTTGCTTCCTCTATACCACAGATTTTCAGAAAAAGTTTCTTATTTACAATATAGCCTTTTTCATATTTTTTGATGTTTAAGTATGTGTTGTGTTTTTTTAATGTATTAAATTTATTTAGATAAGATTGAATTAAGGAAATAATATTCAATTTTGTTCTAATTAAATATAAAGTCATTTTTTTTTCAATATTGGTAACATAAAAATACATACAAAAAAAATAACAATAAACTAAAATATTTTAGTTATTAATAATTTAAAGCTAACATTTCATAAATATATATTTAATGTAAAGAATAATTACAAAAAAAACCTTTTATTTATTTTTAAAAAATTTCTTAAGTTAAATTTAATTTATATTAAATACTGTTAAATAAATATATATATTTCAATAATTGCTTCAACCAGTTACTGAAACTTTCTGTTTTAACAGTTTTTATATTTGTTTACAATTTATAAACCTTATAAATTGAGTAGTTCAATAAATCAAATATAGATATGTATAATTTTGTTTTACATAATAATTTTTTTTTTTTACATATCGGTCTTATTTATTTACAAATTGTTTGAAGGAACAAAGAACGTTCTAAAATTTGTTGATCTTGTTTAAAAATTAGATTAAAAATAAATCATCTAGCTTTTTTGCAACTTTTTTTTTAATTAGACTAAATATAAAAATATTTAATAATAATTTATTACATTAAAAGTGAGTAAGTGGAATAATTTTTTTTTTTTCTGTTGAGATTATTAGAATTCTTTGGTATTAAATATTCAGATAGTTAATAACTTCTACAATTATTGCTTAAAAATAGAGATAATTTAATATGATATCTTTAGTCTCCATGTAAAACTATGTATGTGTCAAATCACAACTTTTCGTAACATATAAAAAAGTGTTTGAAAAATATGAAATTATTATCATTCTGATATAGATATATTTTTAATAATAATAATTATCAAGTGATTTCCTATTGAGTAGAAAAAAATAACAATTGATGTTTATGCTATAAAATTTATAGCAAAAATAAAACAATGAAATAAATCTAAACCATTTTGTACTTAAGCAGTTTCACATTGAGACTGATGGTACGTAGTTTACTGTTCTTAATGTTGATGGACTCAGTCAGTTTACAACTTAAAATTATTCTTAAGACTAGAACTTGTTTGAAAACATCCTCAGATTATCCCAAGTTTTATATATTATTAAAACCTTTCGGTTAAAATATTTATAATGATAATTTTTTTTATGTACAAAATGAGACTGCAATAAGTTTTACGATGATTAATGGTACTACCTAACCATACTTAGAGTTGAAGACTTGGGTTTGCCATTTCTTCCTAGGTAGGTCATTTTGTCGTCATCATCTTCAAAACTCATTTGGGAATGTATACTATCTCGTGTTGGTTTTTTCTGTATTTTTGGTGACCTGGTAAGACGAGGGGAAACTACTAATCGTGGTGATCTCTTGTTCATTTGTTTTTCAACCCATCTCAACATGGTTAGTACTTCGTCAGGTCCAGCCAGTCGAAAATCAGCTGCTGTTCTTACTGTTGGGGATGAGTCTACACGGAATGTGCAAGCTATACCTTGTAATGCCATCATTGCGTCTTCACATCCTGCATAAATAATTCTTACTCTCTCTGACCAATCTACTCCATACATCGTTCTTAAAATATGGATTGAAGCTCTTCCTTGGTCCCATGTTACAGGAGGCTTTGCTTCTATTGCCATATGTGCATAATGCGGTTGGAAACCTGCTGTATGGAAAATTTCACTCGCTCTTTCCACAATGTGATCTCTTAGAGAAAGTGGTGTTTCACGATAGTGAAAAGTTAACAAAACACCTTTGTTTTCTACCCATGCACCATCATGACACACTTCATCTTGTAGCAATCTCATGAGCTCTCTTAATTTTTCTGCATATTCATTAGGTACTGGATGTATAAATTTAGTACCATCTGGATGTAATATTTCTAAACCGTGACTTCCAGCATATGTAATGCTCTCAATTCCTACCATATGGATTACGTTTTCAAGACTTCTACCTGAAATTACTGCAATATTTACATCAGGCATGTTTGCCAATCTTTCGAGTACCCTCTTAGTTTCTTCAGGCAGGACTGCCAGGTCTGGATGAGATGCTAATTGTACCAAAGTACCATCATAGTCCAAAATTAAGCTGAGCTTACAACTCCTATCAATAGATAGATAATGATCGAAATCATCTAAAGAGAGTGGAAGCATAGTCATGGTAAGGGGATCTTGATTTTCGTCACTGACTAGGGCACCTATTGCCGCTAGAAACGACTTCATCCAATGGTTCACGTTCAGCTGTTGTTCCCGATGCCTCAGCTGTTTCATTCTCACTTCCCTTTCATCCAAAGGCATTTGCAATGCCCTATGCAAGGTATCTGCTGCATCATCAATCTCATAGGGATTGACTAACAAAGCTTCATGCATCATTCCTCCTGCTCCAGCAAAAGGTGATAGAATCAGAACTCCTGGGTCTTTAATTTGGCAAGCAACGTATTCTTTGGCTACTAGATTCATACCATCTCGCAATGGTGTGACTAAAGCTATTGAAGAATCTCTATAAATTGCTGCCAATTGCTCTTGACTTAGGCATCCATAAATGTATCTTATTGGAGACCAGTTGGGTCTGGAAAATCGACCATTTATTCTTCCGATTAGTTGGTCAATTTCTTCCTTCAGTTGTTTATATTCTTTCACATTTGTTCTGGAAGGAACAGATATCTGAAGGAGATAAATTGTTTCCATATGTTCTGGATATTTCTCCAATAAACGTTCATATGCTAGGATTCTGTGTACAAGTCCTGAAAAAAAAAATTATTTTAGGATATTTAAGGTTTTAATAAATTTTCTAATGACTTTGTATTAATAATGTTAAAGTACCTTTTGTATAATCCAGCCTGTCAACACCAAGAATCACTTTTACTTTGTCCGTGTCTTTGAGATACACTGGCGCAGACTCGGCTAGCTGAACGAACCTGTCAAATGGGATACCTATGGGAAGTGCTTTTATATGCACTGTTCTTCCTGCTAGTTCAACCAACATTTTGTTCCTATCAACTCTGCATCCTAATCGCCTGCTGCAGCAATCGATAAAATTCAGGCAGTAGTCTTCTATGTGAAACCCAACAAAGTCACACGCTGAAACATATTATGATTTTATTTGTAATAACTGTTCAATATTTAAAATAATTAATATGGGTGTAAATAATATATCAAATGTTACTTAATAATTATAGTATAATTATGTATGGAAATTAAATATATATATATATTTATGTTGAAAAAAGTTAAAATAAATTTTAATACTAATTGTCACTTCAAACACTGCTTGTTGCAATATTATTTCAAAGTCATACAAAAGTGAGTCAATGACACATTAGTCTTTTTTTTTATTTCAGGTATCAGTTCAATGATGAATTGATATCTATAAAAAAAAATTTCTAGAATCCAAAGAAGATGGATTTTGGAAAATAATTGTAATATTGTTATAAATGAACTTTTTTCTGACAGGAAATATTAATTCAACTTTATTCATATAACAACTTCAAATTTAATTCATTATTATTCTTTTGGCAAGAATTTTTAACTATAGCCTACTATGCCTTGTTGGTTATCTAAAAGTGTGTCACCGTAATAGACAATCTATAGTATACTATGGTAATTATTAATAATGTTGTATAGCAATTATTGTTTACAGTATTATTATATGATACAGTGAACATATTTTTTTTAATTTCACAATGACTGGCTTTAATGCTCGTTAAACATGGATTACTCTTCAACCCATTTCTTTACACCCAATAATTTCTACACATCACATAGTTCTGTTTCTTAGGATGTGAATAATTTTAAATCATTTATTATGTCTTCTAGATATTTATTAAACAGATAACCAACTTTTGAACAGGACTCTATAAACAAATTTTTCCCTGTAAATATATATAAATTGTTCTATGTAGTGAAAAAAAAGTCAATTTTATATTAAAACATGACTTCTCAAATTGAATTTCATATTGAAGTAATTACAATGTTTAGTTTTTCCAATATTCTTTTACGAATTTTAATTGTTGATTAACTAGCTCTTGGGAATTTTTACTAGATCAGCTCTTTAATTTATGATTTCAGTTTTTTAAACATTTAATTCCGTTACTTTTTCTAAGTTGTTAAAAAAAGTCTTTCTGCAATTAATTTGTTATTTAAATTGTTAATTGATTGTTGAAATTAAAGTTTTCTTTTTAATACATATTTGACTCTGATATAAACAATGGGTGCATAATTGTTTTTTTACTTTTACTAATTCTATATTTAATTGTGTATCATATAAAGAAAAATAGATGTATAATATTTAAAGCATTTAATGAAAGTAAAAATCCTTATCTGATAATTAAAAAAAGTAGAAAATAAATAGTTTATAAATTACTAAGGCCATATAATTTTGGAATAGGCAGGTTTCCTTAGTCTTTTATGGCATAGTTTATTTATCAACTTTATACATTTTTTTTTTTTCATTCGACTTTGTCGTACTTGTATGCACAAACTTGATTAATCTTTAACTTTTTAGATATTGGACATTTTTTACTGTTAAATGTATGACTTATTATGAAATAAATAGATGCAGGTTTGATTTATTTATTAATGTTTTTATAAATTCCAATTTTTTTTTTTTTTAATTCAAACGCCACAGCCTATTTTATATAGGAAATACCTAAAATGCCTTGAAGTATCACATCATCCCATGGGAAAAGCCTCATTATGTCCCAGGATGGAAAGGGAATGTGAAGAAAAAATCCTAGTTTGCACCTGAGGTTTTCTTCATCACAAACCTGGATTAGACATGGAAATCTGACATTATCGTACTTACATTTTATCCTTTTCACCTCACAATAAAAAAAAAATGAAATAAAAAATGGCCAAAGGCCATATTTCATATCATTTTATGATACATCTTATCAAAATATAAGTATAAAAATGGTAGATGATAGTACCTGTCTTATTGTAGTAGCAGCTGTAAACAGCTGATAATCATGAATCCAGATAACTGGAGATACATTGGATTTACCTTGCGAATCAAGATCTTGTGTGGTTTTTCTCAATGCTTGAAGAGTACATTTAGCAAAGTCTTCGTTTACCTTGCTATAGGCCTTTAATTAAAAAAGATTAATAGATATATATATATAATGAGAAATATGACCATTAATACTTGTCTACTTGAGAACAACGGAATAATACCTTCCAAGTATCAGCCTTGAATACTGCTCTATCAGGCATTGAATGGAATAGTGGCCATAGAGTCCCATTGCAGCATCCATTGTAATATCTTTCGAACATCTTTTCTTCGATACTGACTGGAACCACCTACAATGGAATAATTATAAAATGAATATTACAGTGCAATATATGATTTAATATTTCTTATTACCAGTACTGAAAGAGTAGTTCCATTTTATGGAAAAATTTTCTCTGTTTGAGAAGTTTAAAAAAATGTAACCATCACCTGGCTTGATAATAAACCTGCTGTCGGTGCCTTATCTTCAGGATCTGCTTCAGGAATCTTGGTATCAGGCGTGAGACCAAAAATACCAGACCACCCTATCCATAATCCTTTACATTCAATCACTACCGGTGCTACCGCTGTGACTAAACCGCCAGCGCTGAAAAGCAGCAATGTGCTGATTTCAATAAATTAAATTATTTCTTATAGCTTTGAGAGTGATCTAGATTTTTTACCTGGCTTTGCGCTCCAATGTTCCATCGTCCCTTCTATTCAGAACAAATGGTAAACGATTCGATACCACAATTAGTGGTGCATTAACTTCCTTTTTCAGTCCCATTTCAATTTTATCTGAAATATGATAATTTTATTAATAATTTCATTCATTTTTAAGAATTTTGTTTAGTAAATTGTTCAAAAACATGTTTATTTGGTAAATTAGAATTTTATCCTGATATTTATTAAAGATTAGCAAACCTACATTTGTAATAAAACTATAGGAACAGTTCTAATGAAATGGATGGATTTTGATTGCATCATTATTTTATCTTTTTTATCAAAGTTGGTAGTCTAAAATATGGCACCTAGGTTCATTTAAATAATTAAATCACTGCTTAGACAAAGAAGGTTTGATTTTGTCAGAAGGTTGAAAGAAGGTTAAACAACAAATTTAGTTTGTAAAAAAGTGTATATTGTTCATTAAGCCGTACTGATTGAGTTTGCCTTGTACGTTAAAGTGATGTTCATGGATTTATTTTTTAATTATGCATATAACTTAAACTGTTTTAGCACTTATCAAAGGTTTAATTTTAAAGAACTCTATTAAAATTCCATAACTCTTGTAGTAATGTAATCTCTATTAACATCAAGGAATTTTCTTCAGGTTTTATTTTCTTATTAAATATTTTTCGTTTTTTAGAAAGATATTGTTTTCTATAGGAAATTTTTAGGTGCCCAGAATATAGAAATATTAAACTTTACATTTTAAGAATTATTTTTTACATGGAAGACCAATAAATAAAATAACATTAGGCTAAATAAAAAAAAATTATAAGGATACTTTATTCTTTTCTATAAAGTTTTCTTCAGAGAAAAATTCCAATCGCTTTTTATCAAAATTGTTGAACGTACAAATGTTGAGAGTTTTATTTGCATTATTTATTATTCTTTATATCTATTTAAAATTAGTTTTATTGTTTGTTTATTTAAAATTTGATTGATCTCTTCTATGATTTCTTTTTTTATTGTTAATTCTATTTGGTTGCATCACATGAATGTTAGTAAGTTCTCATCAGTCAATGACTGATTAATTTTTTTAGAAACTTTATTAAATAGTTGAGTGTTTGCAATTTCTGAGTTAATAAAAAATTACTTTCAAGAATTTATTTTATTCCATAATTCTAGCTCTTAAGTTGGGAGATTTAAAAAACTTGTTGGAAGAATTTAAAGGAATCTAAATAATATAATTGAAACAATTATATTGCAATTATTCACACAAATTTATTTTATATTATCTTAATTTTATCATAATTCTGAGATATGATTCTATATCATTAAATAAATGGCCCAGAAATTCCAAGGTTGATGTTTTCATTACTTTGAACATGCCCTATTGATGTCATGCAGTGGCTTTTTTTTATATCGAATATTCCATCTTAAAATTGTTAGAAAACATGATTTGATGAATTTAACACTGTTATATAATAAATCTATTCTATATCTTAATATTTATGGCACCATTTTATTTAAATTGTAGAAATTAGTTAAGTTTCAATGAAATAATAATTATTTATGAGTTATAACAAAAATCCTTTAGTTTTGGTAGTTCATAAACAATTACATTGCATATTTCATTTCATTTTTTTAAATTAACATTTTGAGTAAATAAACTGAAAAAAAAAATAAGTGGTTTTTGGCTCTCCTAACTTTTTTTTTTTACTAGAAAGCAATAACTGAAAAACTATGCAAGTTAGGTATCTCCGAGTTGTAGTATGCTCGTACTGGTGGTTCACATGGTCCTTGAGGTTGCCGCTGCATGTTTACTAGAGTGGGAATGTCAAGATTCATTTTCTGGGGCCACCAATAAATGAAATTAACCAAGTCAGTTGGGAATCGACCCCCCCTCCCCCACGCACAATGGGCATTCAGAGATCCAACCCCAATGTGTTTGCTTGACTTGATCCCATTCTTCCAACTAAGTATATATAAAAAACTATTTATATATATATATATATATATATTTAAAAAACTAGATAAAATTGTCTTCAAATACAGATAAAATTTGTATTAATTAAAACCATTTAAAGGGGAGATTTTGAGGGCCTTAATTATGCAATGTTCTGTTTTTCATCAAATTATACTTGATTAAGATTTATACTTATAGTTAATATATATGAACAATACTGTTATTCTAAAGGGTCCTAGTCCCAGAATAAAGATGATTTTTCTATTTCTATTTTCTATTAAAAAAAATAAAATTGACCATTCTTCTACTTTTCTATTTTAGAGATTTTTATTTTAATTGAGTTGAATAATAACTGCATAAAGTAATATTCGGTTCCAGTTTTGTTAAAAAAGAATTGTAACAATAATTATTTATAATTTTAATTATAAATCAATGAGGTTTTTAAAAATTTTTATTTGAAAATATACAATTTATCACGGGCGGATCTACGGGAGGGGGCTTTCGGGCTGAAGCCCCCCCCAAAATGGTAAAACATAACCACGTTTTATGGAAAAAAATAATTAAAAAATACCTCTTAAAGTATTATTGTTGGTGTAATTACATTTAAAAGGTCTTAAGGAATCACTTAAACACCATTTCATATAGGTAGTTAGTTTTTTTCTGTTTTTCCGAAGTAAATATCGTCATTTTTATGAAAAAAAAGCTTCCGGGCTGAAGCCCCCCCAATATTAAATTCTGGATCCGCTAGTGCAATCTATCATTTGTAAGCATGAAATAATTGTACCGATTGATTTAAATTTGTATAATGTAATTAAAGAAAAAAAAGAAGAGAGAAATACTTTATTGAAAGTAATGCTGCCCTACTACATAAGGTTGCTTTATACACAGCATACTGATCAATCCGCGTGGACATACCTCTTACATTATATTATTCCATCATTTTATAAGCATATTATTTTTTTTTCTCTCATTTTTCATAGCACGGGTCATATACCACATTAAACAATTACCATTATATAACATACATTTTCTGAAAAAAATAAAATAAAAGTATTCGAATGCTAGGAATACAAGACTAAATTGCTCACACATATATACAACACAATTCCATGAATAAAGATAAAAAGATAAAAATTTAAATTGAATAAACAACAAAATAATGATAATAAATTTTTAATGATGATTTAAACTTTATTTTTATTCAATTTATAGTGCACTTATATCATAATATTAATTGTCTATTGATTCAATTATTTTATTTTGCTTCTTCTTTGATATATCATATATTGTACTCTCTTTGTTATATTTATCTTTTATTTAGTGTTCTCTTTAGTACTTTGTTTTTTATTGTTTTTAATGTTTATTTCTTTTTATTGTTTTTCATAAACTAATGTTTACGCTGACAGTAAAAAACAAAATATTATATAATTAATACACCATATAGCGTGGGCTGTGTTAAATAGTATTACTATGAAAGGCGAAAACAAAGTCAACTGACGAAGAAACAAATAACACATGCTATTATTTTTAATATTACCAGATTGACCTTAAACAATTGCAATCCTGCTGGGCGAATTAGTGAATTGCTAATCTATAAATAGCAAATCATTCAATAGTCGAGTGTACACTATCAATAGCTTGACTATTCAGACGTATCAGTAAAACTTTTCCACGTATTTATCAAGTAATAATTGATTTTCTAACACTATTTAGCTTCGTTGAAGTCGGATAATAAATTAATAGTATGATTTCTGTTTTCTTATTGGCTACTAAGAAAATTAAATCATTCATTGTTAAGCATTTGAACCAATAATTAATTAATACTTATAAAAATGAATCAAGACCAAGAAGATGCAATAGGTGAAATGGGAAGAAGGCTACTGAATGAAAAAGGAAATATCTAAAATACCTGTCAGAAAAATCGAAACAAAGAAAAGATGTACAAAACACTGAAAATGTATCAAAGGACTTGCTTGTCGAGGTGTTGCTAAATGAACACAAAAAATGATTTTTCAAGAAATTTCACAAACATGGAATCATGATGAGAACAGAAAATCTCAGTAAAAAAACAAATAGAGAATAGCTCATCTAGGAGTAATATCCTAAGTTCAAGGCTAGGTCGAAAAGCAGAATTATGTTTTTCTTCCTTTCCCTTCATTTGTTATTACTTTAATAGCGGATTCAAGGTAGGGGCGTAGGCCTCCTCCCTTCTCCCCACCCCTGAAAGGTGACAACAAATTTTATCCTGAAAACTATCTTTTATGTTTTGTTTTTTTTGTTGTTTTTTTGTATTGAGAGAAAGAAAAAATACATTTTGCCTCAATTAAGGGCATTGAGTATTTATGATGAATGAAGTACAATCATACCATATATACAAGATTATAAGAAAATAAAATAAAATAAAACTTGGAGTAACAGAATAAATCAAACTGATATAACATTAAATTAAAAACTAAAAAAAAATAAAATAAATAAATAAAAAATAATAAATAAAAACACATTCAAACTTACTTTTATGTTTTATCTTGTAACTAAACAACTGACACTTTTACTATTATTATTTTAATTGAAAAGTGAATTGTACTAAATAAATAATTTTATTTGTATTTTGTACTAAAAGATAACTAATAATATAAAAATCTGAATATCTATACTAAAAATTCTTTATGTATTGGCTCAGTGTCTGAATATTGTAGTTGCTAGAGTGCTATGATCCCTTGGAAACTATTTTAAATTGAATTTGAAGAATTATGCAAAAATCTCATATTTTCAGTTCATAGACGTCAAATATGCAGCTAAGTTATTTTCATCTCTATTTTATGGCAAAAAACTAAAATACACATTTATTTTCGTGCATGTATATTTATCTTCTTCCAAGTGAACTGTGTATATATGTATAAGCCACTCTTATACGAAAAGATGGAATTTTACAGGGAAAGCTTTTAAAGTTTTTTTATTCAGGTTCATGACTGTCTCTAGCTCACTTTAAAACATCAAGGCGTCATTTTCTTAATCTATAATATTCACATTTTTTATTAAAAGGGAACGTTTGTCTTAATTTTTTTATCATTAAATGTAAATGATGGAATTAAATGGTTGTTTTTCTTGAAAAAATAAAATAAATTGTTATTACAGTAAATATTAATTAAACCTAAATAATAAATGTATATTTAATCAAATTAAAAATCTGAATAATTTTTTTTTTTCTAAAGAAATATGGATGAATTAGAAGATGATGTGAATAGGAAGTTAAATGAAAATTTTCGTATTGTGCCACTTTTCTTCCATACGGACGATATATATATATATATATATATATATATATATATATATATATATATATATATATATATATATATATATATATATATATATATATATATATATGTATATATATAT